AGAGATATCATCATATTCCAGACCAGCGCTGGAAGCAAAATGCCAGATCGCGTTGTCAAGCGCCCTCTTGCTTGTGAAGGGCGGTAACTCATGCAGGAGCACCGTCTTGTTCGCCCTGGACCTTTCCAAGCTCTGAATCTGCGGGCGATCCGCTCATTCGTCGTGGGTCGTTTCGGCGAGGGCACGTCCATAGAAAATATTGCACTGCTCAAAAAGCTTTGACATATTTGGCAGAACGCTAACAGAATGATACTTCATCATAGCTTCGTTCATGCGAGGGTCCAGCCACTCTATGGAGGGTGTCGTCGTAGTAGTTGCCTCGAAGGCACGCTTGCGGCTCTGCGCCGGTTCCTCCGTAAAGCAGCCCGCTTTCGGGTCAAACAGGTTGGAGCGCACGTATATGGCCAAAAAGTCTTCCCTGGCTCGCTCATTCAATCTCAGCGAGTCACGGAGCTCTGGAGACATCTCATCCCAGCTCAAATCGAGCTCGTTCAGTTTAAGCTTGAAAATAGTCAGTTCTTCACCATCAATCTTTTCTTTCCACTTCAAAAACTCCTGACCGGCGTCTAATTGTGGCTCGTCTTTGACCAATAGCTCCGCTGAGGGAGCTTCCGCGCTGGGGACCTGTTCTTTGACCGCCATGGCTTGCGACATAGCTGACATAGCTCAAAAGAAAGGAGACATTCGTAGTGAAAGATAATCAAGACATCAATGCAAAGAGGAATTGCGCTAATTATTAGGGAACTAAAGTCTAGAAGACGTGCAGAGGAGGAGGAGGAGGAGGAGGAGGAGGAGGAGGAGGAGGAGGAGGAGGAGGAGGAGGAGGAGGAGGAGGAGGAGGAGGCGGAGGCGTTGGAACTGGAGTAGGAGTAGGACTGGGAGAAGCAGCAGCGGCGGCAGCGGCAGCAGCAGCGTTAGCGGCAGATGATTCATTGATATCCTTTTATGTGGCTAGCTTTGTAGCCGGGCTCAGCAGCTGTGCAAGTTCCTGTCCCTGCCCTACACCTTCGGTGCAATGGTGATGCGCATTTTCTGTGTGACTGGGCCTGTAACTGCCATAAATCCCCCGATCATAAAAAGTCATGTCTGGAGTTTAGAACATTATGATTCTGCAGATCCCGAAAGACAATTGATCGTCCAAATTGGGTCGAAAAGCAAATAGAATAATGTGTACATTCTTTTAAGGTTCGAAATCTTTCGTTGCAAAAACCACCCTGCTTTATGAAGTAGTCTTGCAGTCCTCTGGCCGAACAAGCCCTGTTTGAATCTCGGGGGGCTCATCAGGAGCTCGGAGTAGGCCCCCCAAACATTGAGACTTCCCAAAACCTTAAATGCCTACGCCGCGAATCCTATCCCGACATATCCCGACCGTCAGTGGCCCTAAACCTAAGTTGCCTTGAATTTTCAGAGGAGCGACATTAAACCCTAAACCTGAAACCATTAACCCAGGATGCCCTAAACCACGAGCTTCCCTCAGCCTTAAACGAGCGGCTGTGAATCGAGGCTGGCAGGGACCCCTTGTTGAGGGTATTCCTTCTGGACCGGCCCAAATTCCCTAAGTCATTATCCAAAGCGCTGCACATTCTGTTTTTTGTTGCGCATCCTCTTGTTGAACATTATGGGCTTCTCTAAGGGTAGCTTAATCAAAGAGCCCTAATCTTCCGGAAGCGCCTCACTTTGAGCAGCGATTCCACGTATCTCGATGCCTTAAGCCTGGATCAAGGCATGCTCGCATCCGACCAAGTTGGGCAGAAGATTCCAGTCAGGGTGTCGCGTTTAGGGGTCGTAGAGGTTTGTTTCAGGCTTACGGGTTTGTTAGGGCTTATGGAGCCTAAAATTGCCTGTTGCTTCGTGCTCTGGGTCCCTGATTTTGGAAGTTCCCCGAAAAGAAGACTAAACCCTAAATCCCTAAAACCCTAAACCCTAAACCCTAAACCCTTAACCCTAAAGCCCACAACCCCTTCGCAGATTGCGACGGCCCCGAAGCGTGCGCCTCGAAGTTCATGCAGCTCCGCAGCAATCGCACGCATCGGACGCAATCCGCGGGTTTCCTCCCAGATGTCAGGAGGCTTTAGGGGTTGGCAAAGAGTGGTGTTGCAACTGCAAGCTGTTGGAGCCTGTTCAGTCCTACAACGCAATCCCATTCCGTGTTGAAACCCAAATTCATTGGAAAGACCCCAAGCAGCAAGGTCTAGAAAGACCCCAAGCAGCAAGGTCTAAGGTCTGAGGGAAGGGGATGAACTAGTAGAAGCCGCGCAGGTGGGTCAAGCTCGTGTCGGGACCAGACGATCAGTAAGGCGAGCCAAGAAGGCAGAAGGTACCCACGGCAGATCGGGGTGCCCTTCTTACAAACCTTGCGAGGGGGATGATGGGAGTTGCTCTCGAAACGACTGCGGTACCTTTTGCGCTTGGCTTTAGCTTGGGAAACTTTTCCATTTTGCGCCCGACTTGTCTAGTAGTCTAGTAACTAGTAATAACTAGTACATTCCCTCCTTCTGCGGTGGTTCCCGGAAGAAGGCTTGAAGTTCAATGAAATCCGACGCCACCAAACCATGAGCCATAAACACTTACTAGAAGCCGCTTGCCTGATAATCGAACGAATTGCAAGCCCTGACCCTGTAGCCAAGTCAAAGTGTGCGACTCTAGGCACCGACGGCCCCTGTGTGAACACGTGCCCTTGGGACAGGCATTGCCAAGGGGATGATGGGAGTTGCTCTCGAAACGATTGCGGTGACTATTGTGCCTGGCTGTAGCTTGGGAAGCTTTTCCATTTTGCACCGACTTGTCCAGCACATCCCTCCTTTTGCAGTTGCTTTTCGGAAGAAAGCTCGAAGTTCCATGAAATCCCGAAACGTTCGGGCCCGAAACCTTGATTCTTAAACGCTTGATCGAAGCCACTTGCCTTGCAACCGAACTGCAAACCCTAACTCTGAGCTACATAAGTGTGCGACCCAAGGCACCGACGACCCCTGTCCGAGCAACAGCTACAACAACAATTACAACAACAACAACAATAACAATAACAACAATAACAACAATAACAACAACTACAACAACAACGTCAACAACAACTACAACAACAACTACAACAACAACTACAACAACAACTACAACAACAACTACAACAACAACCACGGTGGCGGCGGCGGCAACCATGGCGGCGGCGGCAACCATGGCGGCGGCAACCACGGCGGCGGGTGCTACCACGACGAAGTCATCAGCTACAGCGGCTGCCATTGCCGCTACAAGCATGGGAGCGACAAGCACTGCTACAAATTCCACTGTGGCCACCACTGCTCCGATTTCGGCTGCTGAGAGGAACCGGCAGAATTAATGAATCCCCTCCTTTCGTAGGGGACATGCACGTCTCTGATCGACCGCCAGCAAGAGCGGCAATGCAAGCCCCCCCTTGAAAGGAAATCGTCCCAACACATTCATGTATGCCCAATAAATCCTTTTTACAAGGCCTAGCTCATCAGGGTTGTGATTGATATGCTAGGGTCTATGAGTCAGGGTATTTGGCGGTTTTTGAGGTCTAAGGTTCTTTTTTCTTAGGGGCTTGCGTGCCGCTTGCTACACGTCCCTCAGCTTACAAACGCCCGGGGGGGTGTTTCAGAAAGGCGGGCGATGGTCCAGAGACGTGTCGTGCTTTGCAATCATCTCCAGGATGTGCTGCTTCGCCAGAGGTGTGGTAACCTTATTTTCATCTTTGCTTTTGTTTGAAGCCCTACAAACCTAAACTCGATCTTCCTTGGAGAGGCTCTCGCTTCAAAATCCTGACCGCCCCAGGGACCAAAACTGGATCCCCAAGTACAGTAACCGGGACGTTCTGGGTTGCTTTACAGCTCTTTGTGCACGATGTTCTTTGTAACGAGGTAGGGTGCTCCCTGACAGCATGGTTTCCAGTCTTCTGGAAAAAACCTCTTGGAGCTGGACTCAGGGACCAATAATTTGGTTGAGAAAGCCCCTCTAAGGAACTGCTTCCTAAGAGTGACAGCGGGGGATTGATACGATAGCGATTGATACGATAGCAATGAGCAGGAATCTGGCAGGGCAAGTTCACAGTAAGCGGAAGATTAATGCGCATGAGCCCTACAGATAAGGGCTCAAAAGCTTAGGGTTTAGGTCGTTCGACGAGAAAGAACAGCACGGCGCAATCCGATATGCTGTGGTGTGTATGCCCTGGTTGCTGGCTCGGTGTGCTGCAGATGTGGTGCAGTACACTGTAAAGTACTAGAGCATCTAGGCAGACATGATTCTTGGTGGGCGTCCTGCATACGCATCGCTGGTGCGTAGTTCAGCGCGGTAAGCATTGTTTCTGGGCTCTGCGGCATTCATATGCGGTGTTATGCCTTGTAGCTTCAACACGACAGAAAATGGCCACTACACCTTGAAACGCGGGGATGGAACGGCTTTTTGTGGTCACTGTGGTGCTTGTTGCACATTTGCCCCGCATACTTCGGACTTGTGGCTCCAAGCTGTCCAACTTTAGGTAGGGAGCGGTGCACACCAAAGGCAGGCTGTGAGCATGAGGGACGTGACATCATGCAGCCGCACGATGCCGTGGGTGTTTTGTTTCGTGTTCGTGCTAGACGCGAATCTTGACACAGCAACAGGTGTTGCACTTCATGAGTTTGGCAGGCCAGGGTGCGCAGTTAGACAGAATGCGGAAAGAGAACAATCTTTAACCATGGGGTATCAGAAGGACTTCCTGACCCTGCTGGTGAAATCGATCCACAAAGAGATCGAGGACATGATGCAGACTTGGCAGAGGCCTGCCAAACATGTTGTTGTCGGCTTTTTCATCAGGTGGATGTGTGCTTACGGTGGCAGGTGCCACCTGGAAGCATTGCGGGTGAGGCCAGTTTTTGTTTGCTAAGGGTGTGCAGGAAAGCCTACAGAACGTAAGCGCGCACACACAACTCAAATGCACGTGCTTAATGTAAATCTTCCAGCATTTGCATTTCGTGTTGATAGGCTCAAGCTTTGCCGTAGCCGCCATGGCGTCCCTTCCTAGGGACAGCCTGGCCGCCAGGATGCTGCAGCGCGGCACCTTACCGGCATGGGAACTGCTGGGCAAAGCAGCTTGGCCGGATCATACACTCAGCTGTATGCAGCGTAGGTGCTTGCAGAGGTCTTTAGAGGCGAGGTCTGCTTTGGACGCGAGCCTGCTTCAGGTTGCGAAAGTGGCGCCATCTTTGTGGGGGTCGCCGTCCACAAGCTGTGTGCAAAACCCCACCACACCAAACAACAGGATGGTGCTCCCGCACAGTGCCGCGACATGCTCGCCCAGCACGGATGTGTGCATGTCACACAACCGCAAGCCGAGGTCGGCACCAGAGCCCTCAACCATCCCAGATCGAACCAGCTTGAGTTCGAGCTCAGTCGCAGAGTTTAGCCAGAGACTGCGTGCAAGTCTCAGTGGCCTGAGTGCCGTATTCGCGCGCTCCCCGAGCAAGAGAAAGGTCGGAAAGCAGCGGCCCTCGCACATGCCAGTGTTGACTGCGCCCGCTGTACTTGCCGCTCCGTCTGCGGCACAAAAGGCTCTACCACCCACATCCCCACCGCCACCTCATGACAAATCGCGCGTGTCCAAGAAGAAGGTGGTCAGCAAGGGCACGCCTGTGGCCAAGGCGCCTCCCATCAAGCCGCGCCGTCGGAAGGTGGGCAAACAACGTCCTTCATATTTGGCACCGGTGGGCGACATCATGAAGCTCCCGCGGCCATTTGGAACAGCAAGCCCAGGGCATTCTCCAGACATTGTGCCAACGACGGCACAAGACCGTCCAAAAGTCCCGTCTCTGACATCGGAGACACAGAAGACACACAACAAACCAGACTCTGGTGTTCCTGCCAGGTCTGCCAGGCAAGGGCAAAGCACCAATGCCACCGCAAAAGACCAGGTGTGGGGAGACCTAGGAGACCAGCTGTCCCAGGAAGGGAGTCAGCAACAGGCGCCAGCAACACCTATGCGGCCGACAGCTGCAGCAAAGAAGCCGCGTACGTCCTCCGAAAAGAGGAGGTCAGGTGCTCCAGCGGCAGACGTCTCTTCTGTAGGCACTTGTGCTGACATTCCTCAGCCAAAGAGGGGCTTCAGCTCCATAGCTGCCAAGCATCAGCAACTGACAAGGCCCCGCCGTCCCATCACAAAGCGTGTCAAGCTAGAGCAGCCGAAGATTGCGGATGACAACTACGAGATATCAGACTTGGAGGAAGACGTGCACGGCAATCGGGTTGAGCCGGATCGCTCACAGAAGCGTGTGCCATCATGGTGCGCGAATTATGTCCAGACTGCAGAGGCACAGGCTGAGGTCGACCCCGACAGCATTTTCGGTTCTCACATGCCGATTTGCGATCTCGACTCATGCCTGAACAGCAGACGTCACTGAAGTTGAAACATGTTGACGCGTAATTTCTTAAGACTACGTGCGAGGAAGTGTTGTAGGACAGCTTTCTAGCGACCAAGTGCTAGTGAGTGCTAGTTATTGCTAGTTGCTACTGACTGCTAGTGGCGCTAGGGCTGATGGTAGTATGCCTTCTCTGTTCAAGGAAGACATCTTCCCCGACAGCTTCTACAGAGGAGCCACTCCCATCAAGCGTCGGCGTGGTTCCTCCTGCAACTGGTACCGGGATGGGCTGAGCCAGCGGGAAATCAATGCCTACGCGCTTAAAATGGGCCAGAAGAGGCCGGGCTACTTGGAACCTTGAATATTACACTAATATTCCGCTCCTCCGCATCAGGCACCCCGGTTTCCCACCTTGCTTGCCAACCAGCCCAGAGCTAACCGTAACAGGGGCTTGTTCCGGGATCCTGAACTGTTCTGAATCCTGAAATGATGTGCTTGTTTCTAGCTTTACCCTGAGATAAGGGTCGGTGGGTTGGGTGGGCGGGTGGGTGCAGATTCGCTTTCATCTTCCAATGATGTTGTGCTACGTCGTGAGTTATTTGTGGTGGCTGGTCTGGTGCACAATCGGTGTCGGCAGGTCTTGGTCAACCGCGAAATCATCTTTCACCTCAACGAGCTCCAGGACAGCTCCAGTCCAAGAATCACGAAGCACAGAATGGTCGCAAGTTTTTTTGGTGCCTCGCTTAGCGTCTACTTGCAGAAGCCAGGTTTCATGTTAGTGTGCACGTTCTCGTATCGTGCACCATGAGCTGTTTGGCCCAGCGTCTACTTGCAGTTTACTGCTGTTTCCGGGGTCCCTTCAACAGAGGTTTCTATACGGTGTCTACATTGTGTATCTCTGGAACATCACAATTCTTGGGAGTCCATCTTTTCTTTGTCAAAACTGTTTCAAGTACCCACGGAATTCCACGGACCAGCCGCTTGAAAACGCAGCGTCTCCTTGGCATTCCTGACTTTGCTGATAGCATAAACAGATGAAAAGCCGTGAGTGCCACATTTGCCATCACGGCTGCTGCAAATGCAGCTTTTACTTGGGGATTCCTATTCTTTGAAGCAGAATTCCGCGGTTGATGGAAACTTTTTGTGATGCAGTGCAGTGTCTACTTGGGGAGATGTTCTCACCGGGTGTGGTGAGATAAATCACAAGGAGCGACCGCTCAGGCAGTCTTCGTGGTTTGTGTTCGCTTAGGTTTTGAGAAATCGTTTTGCATAGTTGCGGCTCGAGACTAGTAGAGCTTGTGCCACATTGAGTTTTGGATTTGAGCTTCGGGCCTATGTAAACAGTCACGTGCAGGATATCGAAGGCTGAAATCCCTCTTCCGCCGGTGCTCGCGAAGGTGACAGCAGCCCCGGCAAAGCCCAGTAGCTCTGGGCGATGAGAAGTACGACATCTGTGACAGAGGGGATGGCAGAAGTTTCGGTAAGCATCTGTAAGTTGCACAGAGTTGTTCTCGTGGAGGGATTCTTCTTCGATCCCCTCGTAGAAATTGTAGGCAGGAGGGCGCTTCTCAGTAGAGCAGCGCTCGCGTCGCTGGGCACACTGTTTCTTGGCAGAGCTGTGGACCATCAGCAAATTCAGGCATGAGGTGGTGATTCATCGGCCTCAATCCTGTACAAGTGGGTCTTGCAGCATCTTTGCAGCTTGCAAATCAAGCCAGGCAAGGAACTGGCGGTGGTGCCTCGACCATTGTGACCCTTGTGGTTGCATTTGCAGCCTGTTTTTGCAGCATCACTGTCAGCTACAACGCATACGCAGATCGTAGCTCCAAGCTGCTGAAGAGTGCTGCAAATGTGCAGATTGCACTCATGGCTTTCTTGGTTCGTGTCGTACAATCACACATTGAGGGTGATGCATGTTAGGCGGCGAGTTCCTGCGCAACTCATATTTCGGTGGGTCTTGGTCAACGCCAAAAAAGCCATGGTGCGCTTGTCACGTGGCTCGCTAGTCCTCGAGGACCTGCTAACGGCCGAGAAGAGCAGGCCCTCGGCAGATCCATGGGGCTGACTAGCACGGTCAAAACTAGCTTTCGCGCCTCACGCGAGCCAATGCCTCAGACAGAGAAGTCGTGAACAAAAAGTCCGGACCATGATCTGCGAAGCAAGAGGTTCTAAGCAGGATTCCGATGCTGCTAGCGCTCATGTGCGACATCTGGAAGGCTGCAGGATCAGGGGCTGTTGAGGGCATGGCCCTGCCAAGTGTCCAGGGCTGAGGTGCCGGCCATCTTTGGGCCATGTCTCACGCATTTCGGTTCTTGTCTTCGGGCAGGCGCAGTTTTGGACCCTTCATTCGATTTGTTTGGATGTGGGCCGATGGTTTCGCTAGATGTGGCCTATATCCGACGTACCCTCAGGACTGGCAGGTAGCTCATGGCCGCACGCCACCAGATACTGAGGCCAGACATGGACATGAGTGTTTTGTGGCTGTGATGGCTTGCATCGTTGCGAAAGAGGCGCATGCGCAAACGCAACATGAAGCAGGAGCCTGCGCCATTGCAGCCTCTTCAAAAGTGGCTTTGCTGCAATAATGCGTGGGCTCTTGACTACTCTTGAAGCTCTTGCATAAGCAGGGGCCTGGCAATCGTAGACCTTCTGCAGAGTCCAACCAAAGAGAGCACTTGGGCCAAAGTCGAAGTGAAAGCAGCAGGAACATGTACAGATGAACAGGCGAAGCCAGGTCGTTGCTGGTGGCACCCATTGTCTGGCAACAAAGCTCTTTTACAGTGTGTGTGTGTGTGTGTGCCTGACAACTCCGCCACTGTTTGGGGCAGCGCTCGCATCATGAAACCCCGTGAGGCCCGAGCCAGATGCTGCCAAGAAGGCCGTCTCCCTTACAATTAGGGTTTAGGGTTTAGGGTTGTTCAGGTTGAGTCAGGTTGAGGCTGGGGTTCAAGGGTGTTCCATGGTGCTCCTAGTCGAGGCTCGCACGGGGGGTTGTATAAAGCTCAGCCAGAGTTCGCTTCCTGGCGTTTGGCATGTCATTTTGCTGACGCGAGGGCCGGCGATGCCGCTGTTCCCTCTTCTCCTTCCTTTGTTCATGGACATTGAATGATGCCCTTGCCTGAGAGTTGCCATCTCGACATTGGCAGTGCTTGCACCGTTTTACAACCCTCAAACTTCAGGCAGAGAGGAGCGGGGAGGGGCGGGAGGGGGTCCCATCACATGCCAGCCAGGGTGCCTGTAGCTGTAGCAGCTCGGCCACGCCTTTCGCAGCAACTCCAAACATGTTCTTTTGCTCTTCGACTTTCGGAATGGCTAGGGGCTCTCTGAGCCGCAAGCCTCAACTCAGCTGCTTAGGCTTAGCCAAGGCTCCTGAGAAGAGTTGTCAGCATTCTTTGGTGTGAACGACAAGAGCATCTTAAGGTATGCGCGCATGTCAAGAATATACACAGAAGGAGAAGGGGGGGGGACCTCCCCTGCTGGTGTGGGGTGTGCGTTGTTGCTGACTCCCCCTCCTTGAAGATATCAACTCCAAAACCCTTGGGCGATCTGCACTGACCGGGAGGAAAAAAAGGCCACGGAGAGCTGAATCTAGCTTCCACGTCATTTCTAGCAGAACAAGGCTTGGGCCATTTCGAACTTTCTCTAGGCAGGCAGAAATTATGGAAAATTTCGCAGGGCCCCCGGAGGTTTAGTTCCTTGCACATGCAGACGAGCGCCTTTGCTTTGGGCTTGCGTGCCAAAGTCTACCCTCAAGACCCCCCCCCCTCTGTCCGCCTGGCCCCGAAATTTTGAGCCCCGCACCCCTAGATCCTCAACCCCAAACCTATTCAACCCTCGATTCTCAAGTCTGAACGGTACCCTAAGCTTAAAACCTCAACCCCGACAAACCCAAACCACCTGACAGTAAGCCTTCCTCCCTGACAACTCTCAACCTTTAACTTCACCAGCCGAAACCTTGCAGACCCACCTTAAATCTTTTCCTCACAAGTCTACGCCCACACCCAGCCGGGCAAGGGGGACATCACTCCCCCGGGATGAGGGGGATTTCCCAAGAACCACCTTGCGAAACTCGACCAAGGTCAAGAATGCACTGCTTCAGATTCCGCTGGTCTACTGCGAGACGTGCGTTCCTAAGACGATGCAATGAGGGAGCTCCCGCTCGACTCTCTGCATGATGAGGCTCTCACGAAGACCGTGGGCGTACTTGTTGCTGTGGGACGCTGGGCTGCAGAGGAGCATGTTCCGGCTGACTTGGCAGATAACTGTCCTTATCTTCCCACAAGCACCTATGAGCCTACCAGTGGCGCCTTTGTCGGGTTCACCTTGGCGATCGCAAGTGCTCAGGCAATAGCGGTGCTGGTAGTGCTGCCAATGATGTGGCGGCAGGCTACCCAGCTAACGCTGTATTCCGCGATAACAGTATGGGTGGATCCGACAACGGGTGAAGCCGACAACATACTTTCAGCTGCATAAATTTTTTGATCACCGACCAAGGCCAATTGTTGTAGATGCCGACATTGATGCCTTCCGACGTGCTGATGCACCGGCGGCCAGAGCCCAGCTTGCGCGGGGGGCTCATGATTCAGGCTTCCTTTGCTCACTTCCAACCGATAAATCAGCAACCGGAGTGCCTGAGTTCCAAGGTACTTGGATTCCTTGACGTTTATGAGGGCAGTCAAAAACCAGTCAGCCGGTCACCTGGTCACTCAAGAGACGTAAGGAAATACAACTACACCAGCAGGTGATTGTGCTTCGTGCCCATGTCTTGTTGATTCAGCGTCGTGACTCAATCCTGCGGTCCCTTACGATTCAGGTTCCTTTGGGTTCGTTTGGGGATTTGTGGTTTAAAGCTCCAAAGGCCAACTGAGCCAGGCAATTTAGGGAGTTCAGGCTTGCGGAGTTCAACCACTTGTTTCGGGTTTACGACGTTGTGAATCCTGGGGTTGAGGACGGTGGGCTGCAGCCCTTATCACAAAAGTTCGCGGAGCGGGAAACCGCGTTGCAACGCACAAGGCCCTTGGCCAGCGAACCATGCTGAAAGTGGAGATACTCTACGAGGCCAAAGATGGATCCGCCACTTGCTCAGTCTGTCACATGCGAGAGCAATCGAAAGCAATCTTCCGACTGAAGTGGCTCTACGGTGCTCTACACTCTAGACTCTATGGCGAACCTGGTGCTCAGGCGTTTAGGGTTTAGGGTTTAGGGTCCGTGCTTAAAAAGGGTTTAGGGTTTAGGACCAGGGCAACGGCTCGTCTGGCAGTCATCAAGTCCGGATTCAAAAAGGACCAGGGCAACCACATCAAGGGAGCTCGAAGATTCCTAGGATCCCAAGAAGCCGAGGTGTTCTCGGAGTCCGTGCAGCGGGACATCCGAGCTTTTGAGCAGTCACTCCGTAGCCTCCCAGGCACGCAAGCGTCTGTTGCAAAGCGTACCGACGTGGGGTGTTAGGGTTTGGATTTAGGGTTTAGGGTTTAGGGTTTAGGGTTTAGGGTTTAGGGTTTAGGGTTTAGGGTTTAGGGTTTAGGGTTTAGGGTTTAGGGTTTAGGGTTTAGGGTTTAGGGTTTAGGGTTTAGGGTTTACAAAGGGTTTAGGGTTTAGGGTTTAGGGTGGGTAGGGTGGATTCGGGCACCTGTCAGTGAAACAATGCCCCATGCCTGCTAGTCCCTGACTGGTCCTTTTGGGGGGTGAGTGGCTGACGAGTTTGGTAGTTGTGGTCGCTTCAAAAAACTCGCTCATGCTGTCATATGAACCCTAAACCCTAAACCCTCAACCCTCAACCCTCAACCCTCAACCCTCAACCCTAAACCCTAAACCCTCCTACCAGGTTGGGCTGCCATGTGCAACATGTCCGAGCCGGCCTTGCAGTTTCACTGCAACCCTGGCGATTCCATGGGAAACTACGTCTGGCCAAGGCCAGGAGCTGTGTTGCCTTTTTTGGAGCATGTTTAGGGTTTAGGGTTTTAGGGTTTAGGGTTTAGGGTTCAGCAGTTCAGAATCTCAAGTCCAAGCATTCACTAGTCAAGAAATTATTACTCCAGAAAAATATCCACCCGCCCGAAGAATCCCACAACATTAAGAAAATATTTCACTTATGGAACGACCTTTCCCAGTAAAAAACGACTTTGCCCAGTAAAAAATGACCTTGCCCAATAAAAAAATGACCTTGCCCAATAAAAAAATGACCTTGCCCAGTAAAAAAAACGACCTTGCCCAGTAAAAAAATGACCTTGCCCAGTAAAAAAATGACCTTGCCCAGTAAAAAAATGACCTTGCCCAGTAAAAAAACGACCTTGCCCAGTAAAAAACAATGACCTTGCCCAGTAAAAAAATGACCTTGCCCAGTAAAAAATGACCTTGCCCAGTAATGACCTTGCCCAGTAAAAAAATGACCTTGCCCAGTAAAAAAATGACCTTGCCCAGTAAAAAGATGACCTTGCCCAGTAACATTTTTACTGGGCAAGGTGATTTTTTTACTGGGCAAGGTCGTTTTTTTTGGCCGAAACGACCTTGCCCAGTAAAAAAATGACCTTGCCCAGTAAAAAAATGACCTTGCCCAGTAAAACAATGACCTTGCCCAGTAACTCCTTAACATTTAAATTATATATGAAAGAGAGGTTTAGGGTTTAGGGTTTAGGTTTAGGGTTTAGGGTTTAGGTTGGGATGTTCCCTCTTATACTGACAGTCCCAAGTAGGGATAAGAGTAGCCCCTATTATCAGACCGTTAGTATAAGGGGGGACATTTCAGGGTTTAAGGGTTTAAGGGCTTATAGCTTAGTTCGTTCCAGCCTTGGTAAAGCTGGCAGGCGACTGGATGCTTTCCTCAACACGCAAGGCCTGTGGAGGGGCTTTGAAATGAGTTCGAAACAGTTGTCGGGGGTGTCGGGATGGGCCTCAGGGTCCGGATGGTTCGGCTTGATGTGTGGGCACTGTCGGATGTTGATTGGAGCTTTTGGCACCGGATCCAGAATTGTAAACCGGCTTCGTGCCCGCATCTTGCTCACTTGCGAACTGTGCGCTGAGGCTACTTCAGGCTGGCCTTCGATGGCAGCGCTTTGGAACGTGTGGCTCCCAGCAAGAAGCATCAAGAGCCACTGCTGCTGCCGTTGCTTCTTTTGATTTGCCGCGATGGCTACTGCTCTTCCCGTTGCTCTTCCTGTCGCTGGCTGCTGCTGCTGCTGCTGCTGCTGCTGCTGCTGCTGCTGCTGCTGCTGCTGCTGCTGCTGCTGCTCCTGACGAGACCAGCCGACATGCCGCCTTTTGCCGTGTCTCAACATCACACTTTTTTTACCATGTTCAATGCCACAAGCTGAAGTGGTGAGCTGTGAGGTCTGCCAATGGACGCCGTCATCGCATACCTCAGAACCCAGCTGAGCCTCCCCAGAGCAGCCCATATTGCCGCTTATCGAAGCTGGTGGCTGCAGCCTCTGAGGTGAGGGCCTGGCCGCCCCTCATGACCTGAGAATGTTCTTGCCAATGACCTTCGTGCAGCCTTCCAGTGGGTCCAAGCCGCACCCTTACCTCAGCTCCAAAGCAAATCGAGAAAGATTGGCGCTGCCATGCAGACCGTGTGCAGTGTGCAGGCTGCTACGGTCTGTTTTCGGCTTCAGCGCCCCAGACTTGAACGACACGACCTTTCGAGCAGCCTTCCAGGCGGCTGCAAGCAGCTCTGTATGAAATAAGGATCTGCTGAGACTTTTGCAACACATGGGCTGTTGCAACCTGGATGCCCTTTACTGTGCGCCACCCCTGAAGCAGTCGAAGTTCAAAAGAACAGCCGCCTTTGCATGTTTCGCGTGACTGGGATCCTCGGGCGGGGAGGCCCGCAATTGACCATAAAGATTTGCTCTCTCGCTCTATTTAACTCTATTGTGCTTAACCCCAGCCAAATGTTCGGGGGGGCATACCAACATCACGGCTCCGACCGCTCTGCACCTGCCAGCTAGTAGCAATGCCATGCTGACGTGCCTGGGACAGGACTTTGTGCAGAACGAGCTGTACTCGGCCTTGCTGCAGGCGCATGAACCCATGATGTGCCATGACCACGCAAGTTGCATGCGGAATGTCAGTAGCAGGCAGTGGTCGACACGCGGAAGCCGGTGCGGGACTCAAGTGAGCTCGGAGCAAGAACCACGCAATATATCATTTTTTGGTGCACAGGGGATTGCGTATCCACTCCGGCAACCATGGTTGCAGGTGGATCCTGCCAGCTGGGACCAGTCGGGGCCTTTTTGTGCGATCAGGGCGCGTGACTTCACGTTGATGCAGCATTTGCCCTGAGGCCGCCAGCGATCCAGATCTATTTCCGTGGGGACGTGCTCGATGAGCACGAGCTTCTGGAAGCCCTGTACAGCCAGGGCCCAAGGTGTATTCCTTGGAGCACGGGGGGCTTGGTATGCTGCCATATCATATGGATAGACAAGGTGATATGCTGCTGGCGATTGGGCCGTGGTGGCCCAAGCCACAAGCCACTGGCGAGAGCTGCTCCGATAGCTGGTCTTGGTAGTTACGCATGCAGTGATGCAGTGTAGTTCTTTGGCAGGCTCCTATGTTCATTCTTGACATCCTGTTCAAGTAGAAGAGCCGGAGCCATTTTGGCTCAAGCGTGAACGTTGAGCAGCTAAGCCAACACGGGGTTCACCAATTTACCAAACTGCTGAAGCCAAGGAGACCGTCGGCTGAAGATGCCACTTCCATGTCTGGCTGCAGAGCATGCCGAATTGTCGCATGTGGCCGTGACGTCATGCAAGTTCACGGCATAAGCTGGCGCGCAGCTGCGTGGCATGAGTGCTCTGCTGGTGGCTACGCACGGCATCGGCTCGTCGCTGGACACTGGAGCGTCACCTGCACTTTGCTATGACTTTCTCGGTCTTCCTGCTAGCGTGGTGGGGCATAACCCGGCTGCTAGTGGCTGTGTGCTTGCAGCTGCTGGGGCAGTGGTGTCCGCTCGGAGCAGAATGGATCGTGGAGGGGCGGGGGTGGGGCTAGAGGGGGAAGGGGGCTGGGAGGAGAGGCGACAAGGGCTTGAGGATTTCGTGCATTGTTTTGCTCTACATGCATGTCTCAGACGCCCAAGAAAAAGAAGATGGATGAAGTTGCCTTTTTGAACGGCAAAAAGGTCGCAGAGCCGTTCTTTTGCAATGGCAGACGGAGCAGTGCGTAGCTAGCCCGTTCGGCGTGAGATGAAAAAGCGCGTCGTCTTGCTTTTGCAGGGCTTCGTTTGGAGTTTTGGATAGTTCGAATCAAGAAGAATCGACGTCTTGTTTGCAAAAAAGAATATGAGCGCACGTCTGAATCCCGCAGAGCATGATAGGCCAGCCGGCCAGCCTGTGAAAGTTGCCCGCTGGGCATGTGTAGATGTGACCAGGTGTGAATGCATCTATCGCCCGATTTCTCCCGCATTGACCGTCACTCATGACATGAATAGGTTGCGCAGAGCGAAAAACAACAGAGCACCACATCCCTGAGATTTGTGGCACATGCAAGGTTATTCATCAGCTTGGCCGTCGCTTGGGTGAAGCTGCGCAGTGCCCTCCACAGCGATCGTGACAGCGGTGACCCGAAGACATGTGCGAGTCGTGGGCCCGCCAGCGCAGTAGCGGTCGAACTCATGCAGAGCCCTAGATCAAGTTTCGTTAAGTGAAGTTTGACGTTGAAGGTGCCGTGCTGGCTTTTGTTGGTACCCTCTTCCTGTGCTGCAGCCTCAGAGTGCTTGCATGCACCGTCGCAGCCGACACTTGAAGCACTCGCTGCACGTACAGTGCATCATGCGAGTGTGACAAACAGATCTGGTCAGCAGTTCTATGAATGTGGCCGTGCGTTTGCATGTTTCAGAGCACGAGGGACGCTCATCGTTTTTGCCTGTGGCTAGGTTTGGCCGCGCTGATCGCCTACGTTCTCTTGCCCGTCGAGCAGGTTGCGGGGCAAGGGCTGGCAACCACGTGAGTGATAGCTGTTTGCAAAAGTTTCAGCCTGTATGGGTTTCAGCGGTCGGTGGCTGGCAACATCATATTGATTCATACGCTGTCAGGGGTACCTTTTTTGGGGTCCTTATTCTAACCGGAGATCCTATTTGGGGGTCTATTTTAGGGGGTCCCGGATGATCGTAAACCCCCCAAAATGTCACAAAAATGGCAGTAGGTGAGCCCCGCCACCTTCTTGGGCATCTTTCTGCTCTTCGGCCTGGGCTTCTCCAGTATCTTCCGGATGCAGGAGGTGTGGAGACGTTCTCGCGCGCGCCTCAGGTCGATCAAGAAACTACGAATTGCTTAAGAACCCCCAAGACAATAAAGAATATTCTTCCTTATAAGGGTAATATAAGGATTATATATATATATATATATATACTCTTTTGGGGTTCTTAAGCAAATAGTAGAAACGTCCACAAGCTTTGGATGTGGATTTTTGGCTAAGGAAATGAGGCCAAGGAAGACGCCCGACGTCTCATGTATGTGCACCGCGCATGGTGCTCAGACTGATGGTGCTCAGACTTAAAGCCCCTAAACCCTAAACCCTAAACCCTAAACCCTAAACCCTAAACCCTAAACCCTAAACCCTAAACCCTAAACCCTAAACCCTAAACCCTAAACCCTAAACCCTAAACCCTAAACCCTAAACCCTAAACCCTAAACCCTAAACCCTAAGCCCTGAACGGAAAATGCAAGGGAAGGGGGGGGGGGGGGTGTCTCGCTATGGGGGCTTCCAGAGGCTAACCCCTGGGCGAGGGCTGGGTGTCGCCATGGTGCCAAATTGCCAAACACTGTGCCAACTGTCTTGTGCACGCTACTGCCTTGCCGCTTTCTCACCCCATGCACCGCCCGGAACCACCGTCATGGAGATTTCGTCCCTTACACATTACAAGTATGTGAGTAGTCGGTGTCTCCACTACAGGTCTGCTTGCCTCCTCCCTAAGAAGTATAAGCGAGAGACCCGCAGAGCTGCAAAGGCTGCAGTTCGAGAAATGCTTCCTGTGGTGGGATCCGCTTGCTGTTCTGCCCTGAGCTACTGCAGACAATACGGATCACATGACCCACATGCGGCCTTGTGTCCTGGACCCGACTCACAGATCTGCCCGTCAGACGCCATCAGGCTACTTCCTCCTCCTCAACTCAAAGTTGCTGCCGCTGCGGGAGTTCGGGGTTTTCATTGGAACCTCTATGCTCTTGGCGGGAGCCTTAGCATGCAGCCAGCCCCATAGAGCTGCCCCAACGGGGCTTCTTCACGCTCGTATCTTGCACGCCCAGAGCCAGCAACTCATGTCTTTGCCCGCTGACAGCCTGAATCCTCCACTCGAGGCATGTGCGTTTGCTCTTCTGTGCTTCGTGCCCTTCCTTCTCCTGTGTTGCTGACACGTTTTTTCGGCACAGTCCACATGACTGGCAGAGGGTGCTTGCCTGGCTACTGGAGCTTTGAGTTTCTTTCGCAGGCTCATAGCGACCAGGGAGGGCGGACGTGGAACTTATTGAAAGTGCATGAACGTACGTGACCCTGGTCTAGGGAGTAATCGAAGCAGCCGCGTCCTGGCAGCTCAGCCAGTATGCAGAGAGCCAAATGCCGAGATCAAAGCCCTCCTTTTCACGTCAAGTGGCCAACACATCACCAGGCACCTTAAGCAGTGTCTAGCGACCTAGCAACAACTTCAGAACAACTGCATTCGCCAAACTTCGCACACTATCGTTTTGACTATAGGCTTGTGCGATGGATGGGGATGCGTCGGATTTCGACGCGGACTTGCCGGATGATGCTGACACCAGTGGCAGTGCTCCTGTAGATGAGATACCCGCGGACTTCGTTGACGCATCTCTTGAAGCCCTCTCTGCCGATGCCCGCTCCATAACGGGTACAAGCGAGCCGGAGCTGGATGATTTGGGCAGTTTGGGCGATTGGGGCAATTTGGGCGTTGAAGCCTTGGAGGCCCGGCTGCGGCTTTCTCCGGCCGCAGTGAGTGCGCCAGTGAGTGCACCAGTGAGCGGGCCAGTCGCCCCAGTCCTGGCCCAAGTTGTGTCAGTCCCGACTCCCGCGGATCCAACCCCTCGCGTGCCACCAGAGCTGGAAGGTTCCGTGCGGGCTCTGGCAGAGCAGCAGCGCCTACAAGCGCAGGAGCTGGCAGAGCTGCGGCACAAAACCCTGAGGCAAAGCGCGCCCAGCTCAGGCATGGACCAGACCGCCTTCTTGGCGGCCCAGAAGCTGCAGCGGGCAGAGGCAGATGCCCGAGGAGCGCGCCAGGACGCTGTGGCGCAGTCTCGACGGGCACAGGTCTTGGAGGAGAAGTGGGCTTCCTAGTCGTAGAGCAGGTAACCTTTATTAACCTTTTGGGGCTTAGTAGAATCCCCTTATTATCCCAAAGGTTATAACCGGTAATTTCCCCCCAGGTTACTGGACAAGTAAGGCTTTGGGTGAGCGCGAGATCGCGGACCTGAAGACGAAGATCGCCGCAGATGCCGAGGACAGCCGAAGCCGCGAGGCTCACCTGGAGGAGAAGCTGGCCGTGAAGGATGCGCGAATCTTTCTCATAGTTGGGTAACATTTTGCCTGTTTAAGGGTACTTGAACCCAGGAAGGGATAGAGATTTACATGTTAAACCCAGTAAGGGATAGAAGTTTAGATTTTAAACCCAGTAAGGGATAGAAATTTATATTTTTAGAACGATCCCAGCCACGAACCCCAGGAATCTCCGAGCTGACCATGAAGCTGGAGACCCTTGTGGAGGGGCATTCCAAGCGGGTGGCTTTCCTGGAGGAGATGCTGGCCTCACGAGACGCAAGGCTCCAGGAGCTCCAGGAGAAGCTGGACAAGGACTATCGCTCTAAACCCTAAACCCTAAACCCTAAACCCTCAACCCTAAACCCTCAACCCTAAACCCTAAACCCTAAACCCTAAACCCTAAACCCTAAACCCTAAAGCTGGACAAGGACTACCGCCTGGTGCAGCAGGATGCCGAGGCGCACGGGCGCCGCGCCATGCTCCTGGAGGAGACCCTGGCCCTCAGGGACGAGAAGGTCGCGGAGCTGCAGGCGAAAGTGGATGGCCTAAGGGAGAAGAAGCGTGAGTTGGTTCGGAAAGCAGAGCTGGAGCAGGTGAATACCACCCAGGAGGTTCGTGACCAAGTGAACTCAGAGATCCGCCGCTTCCAGGAGAAGGCGCAGGCAGATGTGGAGGCAGTGCGCAGCAGCCTCAACGCTTTGCACCAGAAGGAGGTCGCCATGCTCCAGGAGCGCGTTAGCACCGCGGAGGAGCGTTGCCTCAGCCTCCAGTCGCGCCTTGACAATGAGGAGCAGGCACACCAGGCGCTGCAGCTATCCGCCAGTCGCGTGCGAGCCGAGTTGCAGAACGAGATCACCGAACTGACGGGCACGCTCAAGCTGAAGGTTTTTGAGATTGAGCGGGCAGCTCTGACCCACGAAGAGGTGAGCGCTGCCCGGCAGAAGCTCGAGGCCGAGAACGAGGCCCTCAAGAAGCAAGTCGAAACTCTTCGGAAAGAGTTCTACAACTTGGAACTTCAGTACAAAGAAGGTCGTGCAAGCGAAAGGGCCGAGCTCGCCTCACTCCGTGAGCAAATGAGAGGATACTTGGACTTGGAGAGAGATTTGGATGCCGCCATCGCCGGATGCGCCGATGCACCTCTGGCATCCTCCGTGGATGCCCAGGAGGCGCTGCTCATCGGAACGACCTTAGGCAGTGCGCCAGCAAGTGCCCAAAGGCGCATCCAGCAAAGCCTGCTGTTGGCGCAGGAGCTGCAGAGGCGCTCCCGTGAGCTGCGGCAACAGACGGCAGCCTCTGAAGAGGCACAGAAGGAGATTGCCCGCTTGAAGCAGGATCTTGACACAGCCCGGCTGCAAGCTCGTGCTGCAGGCTGCTCAGAACCACAGGCCTACTTGCAGGGCTCCCTTCGAGATTGCCAGGCTGAGGCTTCCCGACTGAAACTGGAGCTGAAATCTTGTAAGCAGGACCTCATGCAGGCCCAGCAGCGTGCAGAGCATGCACAGAGGGCTCGCCTACAAGTGGAAGCGGATATGAGGAAGCTCCTCTCCTCACGAGACTTCTTACAGCAACTCAAGCAGGAAATGGAGGGCTTAAAGAGCGTCAAGCCCTCCACAGTGCCTCTGAAACAGTTGCCGGCTTCCGTCATCAAATGAGCGCTTGTGCAGCGCTTGGCTGCAGTGCATAATTCGATTTTCAAGGCCGCGAGCGCAAACCGGGGCCCCTGCATGGGATGTGTGTCAGGCTCTCCAGTCAGGACGTGCAAGGTTATTGTTGAATTCTGATCCACACACTTGAAAGGCACTGATTCTTTGTGTTGTAACTTCCTGACCTAGCCGAGCTTGGGAGATAATAACCTGCTGGTGGGAAGATGATCTTCCACACCCCTGACTGAGAGGCATTGCGCTTGGGCGTTGGCATGCGATACTGAGATACTTCAATGAATCAGGTGCAAAGACCCTATATGCTGAACGATAAGGGGTGGCAGAGAACACCTGCACGGTTTGCAAGCTTGTGCTGTCCCAGTCGCGGACAGCTGTGAGTCCCTCTTTTTTGTCGTGTGCCAACACCCAGCGCCTTGCCTGAGACTCTTCGTGCACTCTGCGCGTCCACGCAAAACTTAGTGGGCAGCTTGCAACCCCAGCAGCCACAGAGGTTGGTGATTGTCAGCAGTGAGTAGCGAGATAATTTGCACATGTCCTTTGCAGGGATGATGATCTACTGTTTGCTTAAGAACCCCCCAAACACAAAATGATCGTCTCCTTTGCCCTTATAAGGAAAAGCAATTTTTTTCTAAAGATGCTTTTTTTCGCAATCGTAGTTATCAGAACTCACGCTGCGACCACAGGCACGAGCGTACCATGCGGCCCTGGATTCGGCGAAGGCTTCCAAGAAAGCGCGGTGCCTGGGGCGGCTCTCTGATGCAGCACAAGAAGCGGCATGGAGTGGGGGCTTCCGAAATTAGGGTTGAGGGTTTAGGGTTTAGGCTTTTTTTGGCTCCTTATTCTAAGGGGATTCTACTATTTAGGGATCTGTATGTATTCTCGTAAACCCCCAAGTGTGTTGAATGGCATGAGTTTGCAGTGAGCCTCGCTCGATCCACGGTGTTCCCAAGCCTAACATTCCGCTACATGCCCTTTGCATGTAGCCGCTGTGCCTGGCGGGTTTGAGCCAGTGTGATGTCATGTCCACATGGGGGTTTACGAAAATAGGGGACCCCTAAAATAGATCCAGGTAGTAGGATTCGTTTATTGTAAGGACCCCAAATAAGGTACCCCTAATTTCGAAAGCCCCCATATGGGTATTAGGGGTACCCCTAATATACCCCAAATACTATAATCCTTATTATAGGAACCCCAAAGGGCACACCCCTAATTTCGAAAAACCCCATATGTGTACGTCAAGGTTGGTTGTGAAACCCTGAACCCTAAACCTTGAACCCTAAACCCTGAACCCTAAACCCTAAACCCTAAACCCTAAGCCCGTACGTCAAGGTTGGTTATGGTGCTCGAGCCTGCCGAGCTGAAGCCGGTCTGGGAGGACGTAGTCGGGGACCAAGCGGGCCGGCTCGGGCTTTGGCGTGTGCCGTTCCTTCACTCGTCCCAAGCCCTAAACCCTAAACCCGAAACCCTAAATCCTGAACCCTGAACCCTGAACCCTAAAGCCCAAACCCCGCTTAAGCTTGCTTTGACTGTGCCACCAGCGCATGCCGTGGCCACAGCTACGCCAAGGCTGCAAAGATCATGCTTGCAGTCAAGCGGCCGAAGCCCGTCCTCGCAGGCCCCCAGCCAGCGAAACATGTCGGAACGTTGAATTGTGCGGAGCATGGGTTGAGATATCACATGGCGGGTTTCCGAAAATAGGTGTGCCCCTTTTTGGGGGTTCCGAGAATGAGGATTACAGTATTTTGGGGGAAAAAGGGGTACCCCCCTAATTTTCGGAAATGCCCATAGAAGTCATGATGAATCGTGCAACGCCGCGCAGGCGCTGGCTTTGCTGTCGCTGTGGCCCTGATTGTCGCGGTGGCGGTGACGGCCTCCCAGCCGTATCCAGCACTGCCGAAGGTTTTCCCGCCGCGGGCTGAACTTGGCAGTTTCATGGTAGAGATCCTTTGCAGCCCCACGCTCTCTCCGCCCTCAACTCACCACTCTCCCCGCTCCACTCTCCGCTCTCCCCACTCTCCCCACTCTCCGCTCTCACTTCTTTCCATACACCTGCAGTGAGCGATTTCAAGGGGGTCCAATGCGGCCCCGCACTCTCCCTGCCCTGACAACCCGTCACCACTCTCACCACCCCTCCTCCCACAACACCTGCCTTGTGGCATGAAGCATGTGGGCTTCGGGGCTGACTTCGTGGCATCGCAAGTTGGAGTGGTAAAGCTTCATCTTCACGGAATCAACAAGTTTGGGACAGCAAACGGGATTTTGCAGGTCAGCCATGCAGATTTCCCCTTCCAACAAATCCTTGCATGTAGTCGGTGCACACATTCCTGCTCGGGGTAATGCCGCGCCGGGGGAGAAGTCACACCAAGACCCACCCCATCAGTCATGGAAGCACGCCTGCGCTTGCGGATTGTCGCAAAGGCCAGAGCACCACCGCGAAGCTGGCCGGCCCATGCTACAGAGCTTCGCGCCGTCCACGCTGGCAGAGGAGCCGACGGGTGAAGCGCGCTGCGCGCTGCGTGGGTTTCATGCAACAGCATCTGAGACTAGTATGGATGCACTTATGCTGGGGCTGCCTGACTGTAGCTTGTAGGTAGGTGAATGAAATGTGTCACGAGTTCACACGTTCATGGTCAATTTCGAGGCTCACATGTTCGCAGCTGACGCAGCTTGTACTGCATGCGCTTCTCTTGTCCAAGGCTTGACTGCACCTTAGCTCGAAGGAGGAAGCCCCTCTCACCATCCAAATGTGCGAGCCTGGCCGCATGGTGCTTAGAGACTTAGGCAGAACCTTGCAGGTCCTGAGCACCTCAACTCTGTAGAGCTCAGCTTCTCAGCCCTTATCCCTTTGCAAAGCTTTGTAAACAGCTGAAAAGCAGAAGCGGCTGGCTGAGGCGGGTTAGCCTCGCCGGGTTGCCCAGTTTTCGATTCGTTTCGGGCATGCCCTAGGGGGCATGCTCCATGTTCATGGATGTCCAGACAGGTCGGTTACATTATGGGGGTTTACGATAATAAGGAGGCCCGAATATAGGCCCCGAAATGGAAGCCCATCGCTAACCGCTAACCCCCATGTGTCACATTCGGATTTCCTTCTGCAGAGTTGAGAGCCGCTCAGACTATCTCAGACTGGTGACGAGAGACTCGTACAGTCGAGGTTTGCCAGTTACAGGTTGGGATTTGAAATGCCTTGAACCCAAAACCCTAAACCCTAAACCCCAAGCCCCAAACCCCAAACCCCAAACCCTCAACCTACAAACAAGAGGTGTGCACTGCACTGGTGCGACTTGGAGAGCACTCCGAGCAGCCGGAAGCCTTGCAACGCATCATCAAGTTGCCTGCGCATCACTACTACTTGCTTAAGAACCCCTCCAAAATAGTAAAAAAAACATGTTATTCCTCATAAGGGCCGTACAGGGATTATTTTTGTTTTTTTTTTTGGGGGAGGGGGGGGTTCTCAAGCAAGTAGTCGGTCAGGAGTTTGCATTCGCTGTGAAGTCTCGCGCCATCAGCTCTTAAACTTGGAGCCTGCTCAGATAACCTGACATCTTGGCCAACGTCTCAAGCCGCGAACTCTGATCGCTGTGGTTTGGATTGTATGGATGTGTATGGATGTCTATGATTGTGTATGGATGTGTGTGGATGCGTACGGATGTGCATCCCGGGGTCTTGCTGAGGCTGCAACCTGTAGATGCTATTCTCGGGCAGCATCGTCGGCCTCGTTGGGGGCCTAGCGCCCAAAGTTTACTGGCTGCGCAACTGCTCTCTTTGCCTTCTAGGGTTTAGGGTTTCGGGATGCGATCGCACGGGACCTAATGCCGGATAATCAGAGCATCAGGTGATATGCATCCCGACACTGTTCCTCAGCATGCAAGCGCTCAGGTGCACGAATATCAGCTTGTCGCTTGTTGTAAGTGGGTCCCGACCCGCATTCTTGACGCAGGCCTGACGTTTTTTTGTCAGCCTTGGCAAACTCAGCGGCTGCAAGTCTGACAAATGGTCCTCGCTTTGGTCGCAGGAGGTGCTTCATGCCCAGGCTTTGAGCTTTGTGAGGGCCGCAGTTTCGAGAAGGCTTCGAGTGACGAACATCTTGGCTCTGGGGGGATTTGCGGGTCAGATGGGCTAAGGCTTCGGCAGAGTATTCTGACGCCACGTGGATGGAGGTGCCATCCGTGTGGGAGAGTCTTGCGTTGAAAGCAACTTGGGAGCGCGGGAGTGCGTCCCGATACCAAGGTGGCCTCTGCGACCAGCCGCCGGCTGCAGTCGGTGGTTTTGGAGGATTGGCCGACGCAGCCTTGGCCATCTCATCAGCAGTGTCGCAGGATCTCGTAGGCATTCGTAGGCTTCAGCGAGGGTGAGGCAGGCGCGCTCGCACCAGGTCTGGGACGACACAAGTGGATGCCTTGACGCAGCTTCCGCAAATCAACTTGGGCTTCACAACCGCCAGGTGCGGTCTTGCTCGCATATGGGGGTTTTCCGAAATGAGGGGTACCTTATTGGGTTCCTGATTATAAGGGAATCCTACTGTTTTATGAGATGTACGTTCGGGGCCCCTTCTTTTCGTAGACCCCAATTAAGTAAAGATGAAGTCAGTTGGTTCCCGGGTCTTCAGGGGCTTCCCAACTCATCACCCTAAACCCTAAACCCTAACCCCACCCTAAACCGTACACCCTACACCCTATACCCTAAACCCTAAACCCCAAACCCAGTTCATCCCGCTGCCAACTCCAGGAGATCATCCAGCACATGTGAAGACTCGATCTACTGCTACTGCAGCCCGAAGTCCTGCACCACACCGTCAGGAGATGGCGGTTTAGGGTTTGGGGTTTGGGGTTTGGGGTTTAGGTTTAGGGTTTGCTTTTGCTTCTGCTTACCCAGTTCCTTTCACGGAGTTCAAGTCGCTGTCGCACTTGCCGCATGTGGACAGGATTCCGGAGGACCCAGAACGACCTTACCTTGCCAGCGCAGCCTTGATCTTGGTGCGCAATGTCTGGGTTTTGGGTTTAGGGTTTAGGGTTTAGGGTTTAGGGTTTAGGGTGCCTCACTCGGCTTTTGATTCATGGCAGTGTAGCATCATTAGAATCTGATTGCTCCACTGTATTGGAGTTCAACATCATCTCGAGATGCCAGACGAGCGAAACAAGGACAAGAAGTAGCATCTCGGGATCTGAGGTCGGAAGGTGTGGACAACTCGCTGCAGTTACAAAGTCAGCCAAGCACCGGGCTGAATTGTGATGCGCTGGGATCAGCTTCCGGGGGTCGAGGGAGACCTTGCACTCCGGTTTCTTTCGTGGTGGTACGGGGTCTAAGGGTCTCTTTAGGGGACAAAGCTGCATCCTGGCAGCGTACTTGCAAACATTAAAATGGGGGTCTACGAAAATCAGGAACCCCTAATATAGCCCCCAAAGAGTAGGCCTTATTCTAAATCAGGACCCCAATAAGCCGCCCCTATGTTCGGAAACCCCCAAAGTCTAGGCACGGAGTGTACACATGTGATGCGGGGAAACGTTCTCAGGCCATGACGTGGAACCCATATTTGGAGGTTCAGGGTACTTATAACCCAATTATAAGTGTAGTTATAACCCACTCACTTACAAGCCTCTTGAGTACCCTAATAAGGTTAGAGTTGGAGTAAAAGTACAGTTACAATTGGGTTACTAAGTACCACGAACCTCCAAGTATGTGCGGTGCAAGGCAGTTTGTTCCATTCTCCGCATTGCAAAGTGGGGCCACTTTTTTCGCGGCTGCTTATCTGTCCTTTTTTATATAAATGTGTTTTTATTTGATTTTTTATATCAAAGTGCTTTCGCCCAGGCTTGGAAGTCATTGTGCTTTTCGGCATCGTGCAGGAGGTATCACTCGCCATGCCATTTGCCAGTTATGCTTGGTGACTGTGAAGATCATTCTGAAGGGTGTATTGCAATTTGGTCTGATGGTGTTTGATATGGTTTTTCAGTGGCGAAACGACAAGATAGGGTCGAAAAGCTTTCAGCAGCCAGAGGCTCGTCATAGGCAATGCCGAAATGCACAAAGGACCAAGTGCAAAGCAGCATGGGCTTGTCACGGCAGAGGTGCATACAGATTGCCCTCCATGTTGTACAGGTGCAGGGCTGTGTGGTATTACATCCTATTCGTAACTAGAGGAGGATTGCACACCAACTCCATCCGAACCTGCATGCGCCATGCCAGGTGTTGCCGTCATTGAGTGGCACGACAAAGGCCGCCTTCGATGCGAGCTTCGACCCTGCCCCGGCCCTGAGACCTGCAACAGCGCATCACGCACACCAGGCTGCCTAGACATCGCGATGTTTATACCGCAACATGAAAGCAACGCCTGTTTCATCGCGGGCGGCCGCTGACAGATATCGACCTCCCATTTGTGCTTCGCTTGGGCTGTTGGGATGCTCCCCCTTATGCTGACAGTCCTTAATCAGGATTCGAGTACCCGCGATTTTTGTCGGGGAACATCCCAATTGAGCTGTCTGGAAGGCCAGTTCAACCGTGGAGACATGGCAGCCAAGGCCAGCCCCTGGTCACAACGAGCCATGCTGCGCGTTTGCAACGAGTTGTTGGGCCCCGAGCGGCGGTTCTACGGGGGATTCCGGGGTTTAGGTTTTAGGGTTTAGGGTGTTTTGTGTAGCCACGAGTGCTGCTGTAAGGGAGGTCCTTAGTACCCGGCTGGCTGCAGAGACCTGGTTGCAAAAAGGGTGTTTTGTGTTCGGGTCTCTGGGGCTCCGATTTTGGGAAATTGTTTGGCCCTTGGCGGATCTGAGACTCGTGGCCGTCATCTCATCTCTGGGCCTCACAAGACCTTCGCCGTTAAGTTTCGTCCTTGCTGCCCCCTTTTTCTCCGTTACTTTAGGACTTTATAATAACATCTTTCACAAAACCTGTAGAAAACTTGTGCAACATGAGGCCCTCAGAGCTGAACATTCTCAGCTCCAGCTGCTGGATCCAGGACTTCCGCGGCTCGGCACAAGAAGGTTCTGCGATGTTTTAGTGTTTCGGGTCGTCCTAGGCCTAGGCTGTGTTTAGGGTTTAGGGTTCAGGGTTCAGGGTTTAGGGTCTAGGGTTTAGGGTTTAGGGTTTAGGACCACAGAAAAAGTCGGCGAATCTGCCGAGCTCGTCGTTGTTTCTCTTGGCCCCGGAGGAGTCTCGGGTCAAGGTGTTCGTTGAGAGTCGTGCGAGTAGGGCGAGCTGTTGCCGCCCTGCTCACCCATCTACTGTGCCTCTGTGGACGTTCCTTTGATCCCCTCCTCAGCTTCGGGTCCGGGCAAGGTGTGCAGGCTCAGCATTGAGCCGCCTCATCTCTCCAAGCCCGAACCACGCTCTCAGGGTGTAGTGGTGAGTGTGATACGGCGATTGCTGGCCCAGCCAACTGCCTTAGCTTCTTGTCGGCATCAGCATCCGCCTCCTCTGTGAACGGGTTGATCCCGAGCCGAGCGTGCGACCCATTGCGGTCCTGGAACGGAGCACCCTCACCAAGTTCCTTGCTGCCGCCCTGCTGCCACCCCAGAACAATGCTTTCTGCTGGCGCCTGATGCCCTGGTCGTGCAGTACATGTGGTGTTGTTTCCTGAGTCTCATGTCGTTTTGTCTTCTTCCCAGGCGCCCCAGCTAAGTCCTTCCCCCTTATTCCTCTCCATTGAGCCTGCAGCCTCACTGTTCCTCGTCTGAATGGCCCAGACATGCTGACCAACCTGTTGGCACCTGTTGGAGCCGCCCCGCGGCGGCAAAGCTCAGCAGCTCCGACTGGACTTTGCTGCTAACGCTGGCCACGGCTTCTTTGGACATATGCTTCGCCCCGTTCCGCCAGCTTCTCTGCATGACGCCGGTTTCAAGCCTGTGTCGATCTTTGCCATCGTCCTAGCGATGCTCAAATACGCACGCTGCTTTTAACCGAGAATTAGTTTTTTTACACGTACGTGTAAAAAAACTAATTCTCAGTATGCGAAGTTTAATATCCATTGCCATGCATTGTCTTGTTGTCTTTTGACCGCTCGACGAAGGAAGTGCCTGTTTGCTGCCGGGACATTGAGTCTGCCTTGCAACGACTCTCATGGTTGCGTTCGGAACAACTCCGAGCTGCCCGCATCACGAAATGCATCATGACAACAAGTTGGCCAACCGTATGGTCTCGCAATGAAAAGGGATCAAGATGAAGCATTGCCGATACGTTGCGAGGACAGGATTGCAGATGATTCAGTCCAAGGGAAAAAGTTGGTCGTGTTGGATTCCTGTTTGGCAGATGACAAACCAGTTTTCGCCATCAGGTCGACAATGTCTGTCATTTGGGATGTTCCCTTGTACCAACAGTCCTGAATAGGGATGATAGTACCCCCGATAAAAATCCCCACTAAGGATTGTTGGTATAAGGGGAACATCCCAATCTGCAAGGAAGTTCTACTTTGCTGCTACAAGTGTGGGTCTGCCAACACAAAATGAAGTGTTCGCATGTTTCATGTTGGTACGGACTCTGAACAGCCTCCGTTCGCCGTCTTCTGGCACAGGTAATTGGCTTATCAGCCGCGGGCAGAAATTCCCTGTGGATCGCTCCGTGCTCAGATCTCCGATCGCGCGCATGCAGCATCCTTGCGTGTGTCGGCTGCTTTGGGCGTCCGTGTGGTCCGACAGGAATAGGAACTCCCATCACGTGCCGGCTGGGTATATAAGGGCATGTGCAGGCTCTGGTGTTGGGCCAGGTGCATTTGCCAAGGTTTTCTGGACTTTCACCTCACTCTCAAGGAGTTTTTGGTGAGTTACCCTGCTGCTGCATCGGCCGTGCCCCCTGGGCATCGACTCTTCTGCGGAGCACTTGCAGGGTGGTTTGGGGTTTAGGGTTTCGGGTTTCGGGTTTAGGGTTTAGGGTAACTGCAAGTGCCTTCCGAGGCCATGTGGCTGAACGAGGCAAACAACTTGACAGCCACGAAGTTCACGTTTCAGGCCCCACTGCAGCTGGATGACTTGACAAGGCATGCAAAGAAATCCCATGTAGTCCTATAGTGGCTCGTCGCTCTCATCAGGAGAAGAAATCCTTCAATTGCATGTGCTTAGATAGGGCACAGCAGAAAATCCCTTGCTCTCTATGCTAGTCTACGGGCGGGCCTATTTTCAAGAGGGCATGCCTTCAGGCATGTTTTACCTCATGTGCGGAAGATGCGGAAGTCCGGGAAGAAGCGCCAATAAATCCACATGAGGCCTCTATTCTTCTTGCACTCGCTGCATCCTGAACTCTGCAACCTCCTAGAAGCTCCAAACCCCAAAGCGGGAATTTGCAGCCCTGCTTGGCTTGTGTCATTATGTTTTAAATGGTTGTATATTGATGTGCGCACAAAGCTCACTTAACATTCGTAGTTTGTGAGGTTAATTGTTGGTGTTGCTACTCTTACTTGCGATCAGCCTTCCAGATCTTTGAGGAGCTCTACAACGAGAAAACAGTCATGAGCAAAAAGGGTTCTATTATCAATTACGCATAATGCCGTTTAAAGATTAGAAAAAACAACCAAAGGTAAACAGCATTCGAAAACCGTCCAACATGCATTTTAATGTTCAGAAGCTGCAGACTCTCGCGCCAGAAGGATAGGTAGGCCTGGCTCATAGTCCTTGAACTTAGAGCAAACCCCCATATCAACAAGTACGTGCTTCTGGGAAAGGTCGTCCCGACGGATGGAGCTGACGCCACACTCCAGATGAGATCACGATGGGTGGCCTATGCCGGACTCCTAACCTGGAAGGATGAGCAGACGTTTCGTTACATGGGGCAGAAGTTGTTGATGCTTCTCGGCTACAGATCGGCGGTCTCAACGCAGAAGCAACCTCCACTGCAGCCGGCGCTTGGGTGCCTGCCTCAGTGCAAGAAAGCAAGCCAGGGCGTTTCACGCAGCAAGAAGGGGCCGTTCACAACAAGTGTTGGAAGCCCGGATTGGACCGCTGGCTCGGAAGCCATTCACGTGAGGTGGGGGAGGGGCGGGGATGTTTCTGGTAGCCTGCCAGCCATGGGAAGCCAGCTTTGTTCTCCAGCCGCGGACATTGTCAATGTGGAGCCCGTCCACAAATGCTTGTTCCCAATGTATGTAGTCAAGGACCGTCTGCCTGTCCACGCATTGGCTTAAGGGCTCCTGACAGAGGTTTAGGACTTAAAGTAAGTGACCTTAAGAAAACCCTAACACCCCAAAACTCTAAACCCTACTAAAACCTGAAACCCGAAACCTTAACCTCGGACTCCACATGTCCAGGTATCCGACTTCTGTCAGATGGATGGGCCTCCGGAGCCACACCACACACTCAAGGCCCGGGGGCTGCTGCACGAGTGGCAGCCAGGCGACTTGGCAGTAATTTAGGGTTTAGGGATGTTTAGGGTTTAGGGTTTAGGATTAGGGTTTAGGGTTCCGGCCAGGACATCATAGCCCGGATGCAAAAAAAGGTCTAGGGCTTGGGGGCTTGGCATGTTTTCACTAGCAGTTGCACGTTGCATCTGCACAAGTTTAGGTATGTTCGTCATCTTCATCTCTCACCAATGGCTGAGCTTCGCACATCCGGACCCTCACGGCCAGCAAGTTGCAGTGCTTCGCAGCACCCTCCTTGGTGTGATTGCCGGGTCGCTCTGCGTTGAGCCCGACACGATTTCAATACCAGCTGGAAAGTACCTAACCATGGCCGCGTGCCAGGCGATACGCGATGGGTACATCTTCTTCGATTGGTTTGCCATCCCGCAGATCACCGCGCGGGAGGGGGGTGTCAATGAAGACGTCACCAGGACAGACGCAGCGTTGGCTGTGCAGAGCATCCCAGCGTACGTAGAGGCGGCAAACCTGTTCATGGCCCTCGTCCCAGGGCTGGTGCATGCAGACACGGGCATGCTCTGCAACTACATCTCGTGGCAGTCGCGAGGATGGTGTCACACGCCAAGTTGTGCTGGGCCAGTCAGTAATCTTGTTCACATGTGTGTTTCAAGCGTTTGGTGGGAGCGCTTTCTCTCCAGTTGCGGTTTCGACCGAATCCTAAATTCTAGTATGGAGCGTACGTAAGAATAGCTGGACCTGCTGGGATGTTCGATGTGCGGTGGTTTCGGAGGAAAGCTGAAAGAAACATCCGGGTTAATTGTCTTGTTTGCATTGTGTCCGAAGCTGGCATCACCAGCAACTTTTGCCTTGGGGCTAAGGTACCCTGGCATAGAATTCTCGGAGATTGGGTTCTCGTTTCGAGTGTCCGCTCATATTGCGTTTGCCAGCCTGCCATGACTCAGAGGCCCTTGCTAACCTCGGAAAATGCATCCCCTGCACAAAAACACGTCGAAGGCCCGAAACAAGCGCGTGTCGGGCTGGGAAGAGGTGAAGCCCTTGAGATCGGGCATCCTGAAGCAGAAGCAGACCTGGTGCAGAAGAAGGTGCTGACGACATCGATGCAACCTGTAAGCTTGTAGGCTCCTCAAGTAACTATGGCATTTGCCGCATGGCCAAACTCAGGTCGCGCAGAATGGTGGTGCCACCTCCTGGCCAACAAACCTGATACCAGCGTGATTGTTGTCTTTTCTTCAAAGGAAGCAGAGTTCATGTTCCCCTTGAATTGGCAGGAGAACACCGTTTCCGAAGGCAACTTCACTGTGGAAGCAGACCGGGCAGTTGTTGAGAAGCTTGGGGAGGCGGCCTTAGAAAGCAAGATCCATTTTCTGTCAACTGCGGGACACCAGAGCCTCTATCTGTATCGTTTTTATCTGGCCCAGCGGCCACATCTACTGGGCCAACGAAGCCAGGCTTTCCGCCTGGAGGAATTCCTGGCGCATTTCCGATTCCCCAGCCTGCAGGAGGCTATCCGAGACACCTCGCGCATGAATCCTGCGCTTTGCGCGATCTTTGCCGGGGACGTGGGGATGCTGCGGCTCCTTCTCGAAAACAGAGCAGACGCCAACCACCGGCTTCATGGGCTGGCAGACCTAGGATATTACGATCGTCAGACGCTTCTTATGGCAGCCACGAAGTCGCGACAGAAGCCGGAGATGCTTTCCACCCTCATCGAGTTTCGGGCCGAAGTTAATGCCACCTCCAGAATCGGACTCTCCTGCGCTGCCGTGGTACGATCCCCTGGGCAGTTGCGAGCCCTCATGGAAGGACGGGCAGACATTCACACACCAGGGGAGCCCTTTGGCCTAGCACCTATAGCAGGGGCTTCTGTGTGGGCTTGCCCGGAGACCATTGCAGTCATGCTGGCTGCAAGGTGTGACCCAAACTTCACGCCTCGTGGCGTAGGGTATGGCGCGCTGCATGCCGTATGCCTCCAGGCCCGCGGCCGCAGCACGGCTGTTGAGGTAGCCAAGGTGCTGCTTGACGGGAGGGCAGATGTCAACTCCAAGGCAGCTCCTGTGGGATTTTTCAAGGTTGCGTGCTTGGCATCGCGGGCTTGTGCAGCCTTGAAAGGTCTCGGGTCCTGTTCCATCGTCGTGAAAACCATGGCAAGCCTCCCTGGCCTTACACCGCTCGGTGCTGCTGCCCTGGCTGGCGATGAGGGCCTGGCTCGTCTGTTCTGGCAACACGATGCCGAAGTTGTCGCTAATGAAAGAGGCGACTTGCCAGAAGACCTGGCGGTCGCAACCGGACACGACCACTTGCTACCGCTCCTTGCATCCTTCGGAGTATGATGCTGAAGAACATGATAGAAATGATCGGGCAACGTCCTCCTAATCAGAAACTAGGTACCTTAGGTACCTTTCTTCGGCCTCCCATTCTCACCCCCAACAAATAATCACGAATAGTACCCGGCATCTGGACTCATGTCACCCACAGGCGTGCCGAAACTGTTGGTGCTTGTGGGGGTTCTGTGATGTTCTGTGCCATCAGTTTCCCCATACGGCACACTTTGCGACTTTAAGGCAGGGTAGAATCTCGGAAGCTGCTGCAGTGTCAAGCTTGTCGCATCTTGTCGCTGCCTGTGGTGTTTTGCCCCTCCAGGCCCAAGAGTGGGACCCAACTTGTGCAGCTGTGAGAAGCTGTAAGCAAAATATGCAAGCAGCAAGTGAGACACCGGCCTAAAATCCACAGTAATTCCTACGAGTAGACGTCGCCGAGCTGCAATGGGCAGTGTGGGGAGTGGGCTTTGCTCACCGCACGCAGCTGCCGAAGATGCTGCCGAAGATGCTGCCGAAGATGCTGCCGAAGATGCTGCCGAAGCTTCTGCCGAAGCTGCTGCCGTCGACCTGACGCCCGTGCATGAATGTCTGTTCCCACTCCATGTGATGAAGGCTGGGTTGAGGGTTTAGGGTTCAGGGTTCAGGGTTTAGGGCTGTCTGAGGAGGGGGGGGCATCGGGGCAAGGTGGCTTTGGTACACTCGCACAGCCGTCACGGCAGGGCTCCTGAGACAGACATGTAGCTTTGTCGGTAACGGTGAGAGGCACGCTGAAGAGAAAGCCGTCCACACTGCTTTCACTTCCCAGTGCTTGTTGTTCGTCGGTCTTGTGGGGTGACTCCGCGGACATGTCCCGCCTCGCGCAGGTGTCGGACTTCCTTACTACCGAGGGTGCCCCGGAAGCTCACGACTCGCTGAAGCGACGTGGCCTTCTGCATGAGTGGCGAGCTGGCATGTTTGTGATTTTTGTTTCCCATCAGTGGCTGAGCGCCGCACATCCGGATCCTGAAGGGCGTCAAGTCGCAGTGTTGCGTGATGCCTTGTCCGGTATGATCAGCGGCTCGTTAGATGTGCGTGTGGACTTCATTTCCTCGTCATTCAATAACAATAAGATGCCGCGCGACACACGACGGCTAGTTGCGTCTGGCTTCCTGTTCTTCGACTGGTTTGCGATCCCACAGATTACAGCGCGTATGGAGGGCGTGAATGAAGAGACTACAAGGTCAGATGCTGCACTAGCCGTCCGGAGCATCCCTGCTTACGTGGAGGTTTCGAACCTTTTCGTTGCGCTGGTTCCGGAGCAGCTACATGCAGGGACCGGTCTGCCTTGCAACTATGCATCTTGGCTCTCGCGAGGATGGTGCCGGGCCGAGCTATGGTGTCATCTTCTCTCGAACAAGCCTGACACGAGTGTGATTGTTGTGCATTCGCAAGCGGAAGCAGAGTACATGTTCCCGATGGATTGGCAGCAAAATCTGATTGCCGAGGGCGAGTTCACGGTAGAGAGTGATCGGTCAGTCGTCGTGAAGCTAGGTGACATGGCCGTGATGAGCAAGATCCAGCACTTGTCAGACAATGGGCCCGCCAGCCACTTCCGATTCTATTTGGCCCTCCGGCCTCGGTTGCTTGGGCAGGAGAGGAGAGATCGCACCCCCGACGAGTTTCTGCGTCACTTCCGGTTCACAAGCCTGCGAGCAGCAGCAGAGGATGAGAGCTCCATGAACCTACGTCACCCTTGGGAATTGCTTTTTTCTTTTACTTTTTGGTTTTTTCATTTTTCATCTTTTTATATAAAACCCAAGAGGGCTTTAGAAATATCATTTTTATTCAGGTTCTAGGGGAGTATAGGAACGGCATCATGAGTGCCGTGATGTCTGGAGACGTGCCTATGCTGCGCCTCCTCGCCGCAGATCGGGCGGATGTGAACTTCAAGCTGCACGGGCTGAGTGACTTAGGCTACTTCGACACCCAGACTGTTCTCATGGCGGCTGCCAAATCTCGACAGGAGCCTGAGATGCTTTCTGCACTCGTTGAGCTTAGAGCTGATGTGGAGACGCGATCCAGGTCTGCAATCGTGTGCGCGTACCTCGTCCGATGTCCAGGACACGTGAAGGTGTTGGCTGATGCGAAGCTTGGTAGCCCAGTGGTATGGTTCACCCTTTTTTGGGGTTCTGGGTTCCCTGATAGAGTAACCAACCACAAAGCGCCCTTAATATGATATCCCCTAAACCCCAAACCCTAAACCCTAAACCTTAGACCCTAAACCCTAAACCCTAAACCCTAAACCCTAAACTCTAAACCCTAAACCCTAAACCCTAAACCGCAAGGAAGGCAGATCTGGAGGCAAGTTGGGTCTTGAATGGTCCCGCCGCGCTGGCGAGCACCGAGACGGTGGCAGCGATGATGGAGTTTCGTTGTGACCCCAACTTCGACTTTGTTGCCATCGGTGTCAGATACGGCCCGTTGCATTCCATGGCTTTGTCTTCCCGTGCAAACAGGCACGCGGAAGCCACTGCGAAGCTGCTGCTTAGAAGTCGTGCCGATGTAAATGCAAGAGCAAGGCCGCAAGGACAGTTCGCACAAAAGTGCCGTGAGTCTCAAGTGGAGGTAGCAAGTAGGGGCTGGGGTGCGTGCCCAATGCGGACAAGGTTCGAAGCAAGTGCACCTGGCCTCACTCCCATCAGCGTGGCGGCGCTTATGGGCCATGAGGCGTTGGTCAAAGTCTTCCTGGACTTTGGAGCTGAGATGATTCCCAATGAACGTGGCGATATGCCAGAAGACCTGGCAGTTTTGAATGGGCATGCCCATTTGATGCCACTTCTGTCCACATTTGCAACATGAAATGCGCCCGTCCTGCTCAAGCAGCGAGCGCAGCTTTCGGACAGCGTTTCTGTCCAGACGTGTGTCACCCAACATTGGCACCGCAGCATGAATCGTCATAGGCAGCGTGCGATGGCGGGGTTGTCAACCAAGAAACCGGTTGTGAGTCTCCCCTCTCTCCCCTCTCTCCTCTCTCTCCTCTCTCTTCTCTCTTCTCTCTCCCTCCCTCCCTCTCCCTCTGCTCCTGTCGCTCCCCCTCTCGTGGACCAATCCCTGCGATGCTGAACCAGGACTACGACGTTGCTTGATATTGATTCGATACAAGATCCTGTGCGGCATCACCTAGCTTGCACAGCTCTCAAGTTAAGGACCCTTCTGTTTTCTCTAACCAGTATCCTTCTGCTGTTGTGGGCTGCCGACTCAAACTCAGATGCTTGCCTGTTGGGGGGCATGAATGCCCAGACGAACAAGGGCAAGTTCCCAGTGCGCACCTGAAGGCAGCTTAAGTATCAGCACCTGTGCGGCTTAAAGATGCTTCCCCTACTGTATCTCCAACAGGCCCCGAAGCCTTGTACCGTGTCTTGGTCATGTCAATCAGCCCACGCACTCTGAAGGTAAGAAGTCCATAAGCCTTGCTGGTCAGCATAGAACCATCGCTTTGCTTCCAATGTCAGTACAAGCCCCCAGGTTTCCAGTAGAAAGCAGTGCTGTCCAGGAGCCCTTGAAACCTCACTTTAAATGCTGAAGGAGAAGGAGGCTTTTGAGGGCCACTAGCAGGACATGTGATGAGTGAGTCTATAATCGGCCAAGTTCGGGACCGCTTTGTGCGTGCAAGGTCTTCGAAGGAAAGGGAGGGACGGACTTCCGGAGACCTGAGGTTTCGAAACAGTGCAGAAGAAAGAAGAGTAGTTTCCACGTTGCAGTGATGTGTTGTGGCCACGTGGTGGGTCATGTTGTGCGCAACATTTGTCAGCCTCAGGTGCGCTTCTTCAGCTTAGTATCCTGTGCCGACCGTTCATAGCAGCACAGGCGCAGGCGCAGGATGTACTAGTGCTTCAATAGGCGAGCTTTCTCCTTACCTCACTACCTCACGAGAGTGGAGCTCCGTCAAGCCATGGGCAACAAGTGTTGCTGCGCTGATGGGGTCGGGGTGGACATGCAGCCCGTGCATGACATGGCTTTTCCGATGTGCCTCGTGAAGGTCCCAAGCCACGCAATAGGGTTTAGGGTTTAGGATGGGTTTAGGGTTTGGGTTTAGGGTTTAGGGTTTAAGGTTTAGGGTTTAGGGTTTAGCGTTTAGGGTTTAGGGTTTACGGGTTTAGGGTTTAGGGAATTAATCAACATGGTGCCTGTCAGCATTCGATGGCCCCTTGCGGGCGTTGCTTGCAGTAAATTGAGTGGCCCTCGCTCTAAGGATGGTCCCGTTCCTCCTTTAACGGGTTCTGAAAGCATGGGCTGTTGGGTATATAAGGGGTATTAAGGGGTACCCCCTACTAAAGGACCATGCAACTACCCGAAGAGACCCTAAACCCTAAACCCCTAAACCCCTAAACCCCTAAACCCCTAAACCCCTAAACCCCTAAACCGCTAAACCCCTAAACCCCTAAACCCCTAAACCCCTAAACCCCTAAACCCCTAAACCCCTAAACCCCTAAACCCTAAACCCCTAAACCCCTAAACCCTAAACCCCAAAACCCCTAAGCCCCTAAACCCCGCAAGGTCTCAGATTTCTTGCGGATGGAGGGAAGCCCTGAAGCGCACGACCTTTTGAAGGACGCCATGCGCCACAACTCGGCAGTTACAGTAAAGGGCTCCAATGTAGTTCCTTTTTGGGTTAGTTGTAGGGGATTCCAGTATATTACCCCAAAAAGGTACTACACAGGAGCCTTTGGGTACAGTACAGGGCCAGAGGTACGTCATTTTATGGCAGAGGTCTTTTGTTACTCTGTTACTCAGTAGCAGTAGTAAGTTGAACCAACTTCCCACCCACCCAGATTAAACAGCCCTCTGCAGGAGAGAGGCCAGCTTTATGCCTGGCATCCCGGCATGTTCGTGCTATTTATTTCTCACCAGTGGCTCGGGACTACTCATCCGGATCCGCATGGGCAGCAATGTGCGGTTCTCCGCAAGGCCCTTTCAGGAATGATCAATGGGAGTTTACAAGTTCAGACAGACCCCGTGACGTTAATCCATCGCGCGCCGCCGAGCTTGTCATCAGCCATTCGCAAGCAAATTTCCGATGGCTTCCTCTTCTTCGACTGGTTTGCAATACCACAGGTCACGGCACGCCTGGCAGGCGTGAATGAAGATGTGACTCGGTCAGAGGCTGCGCTAGCTGTTCAAAGCATCCCGGCATATGTAGAAGTGTCCGCCCTTTTCATCGCCCTGGTGCCAGAGCTTACGCACACCGTGACGGGGTCTAAATGCAATTACATTTCTTGGCTGTCGAGAGGATGGTGCCGAGCCGAGCTATGGTGTCACGTCCTATCCAACAAGACAAACACGAGTATCATCGTGGTGTACTCCTCACACGAAGCAGAGTTCATGTCTCCTTTAGACTGGCAGCGCCACGGCATTTCAGAAGGAGACTTTACTGTAGAATCTGACCGTGAGGCTGTGAGCAAGCTGGGTGACATTGCCGTGCGGGCAAAGATCGAACACCTGTCATCAGTGGGCCCGTTGAGTTCATATCGGTTCTACTTGGCCCAGCGCGCACAGTTGTTGGGACAAGGAAGTGGGGCTTGGGGAAGAGATGCCTTCCTTGAGCAGTTTCGATTTCCCAGCCTGAAGGCGGCCGCCACAGACAGGAGCAGCATGAATGGCCTGATGTGTGCCGTTTTCGCAGGCGATGCCGATATCATTCGCCACTTGGTCCACCTATCAGCAGATGTAAACATGAGGCTACATGGCTTGGACGACTTTGGGTATTTTGAAAGCCAGACGCTTTTGATGGCCGCGGCGAAGTCGCATCAGTCCGCTCGGGTGCTTTCAGCGCTCATCGAGCTTCGCTGTGATGTGAACGCACGGGCCAAGAATGGCACGAGCCCTTCATACATGGTGCGATCGCCTGAGCAAGTGTTGGTGCTTCAAACGGCCAAGGCCGATTTACATCGCGCAGATCCTCCCTTGGGGCTGACTCCGCTGACAGGGGTTGCATCCTTTGCATCTGCAGAGACAGTCATGGCCATGCTAGCGGCTCGGTGCAGCCCGAATCCAGAATTGCAAGGTCTTGGCTATACCCCCTTACATGGGGTATCATTCTTCTCGCGTAGCAATAGAAGCTCGGAGGAAACAGCAAAGCTGCTTCTAGCTCATGCTGCAGATGTCAATGCCCGCGCGCAACCGGAAGGCATGTATTCTTGGATCTGTGCCCTGGCCCGCTCACACTGTGCCGTGTACGGCTTCGAAGCAAGTCCTGTGATGGCACGGGCATTTGCAAGCCTTCCTGGGCTTACGCCACTTGGTGCAGCTGCTTTTGTCGGTTGCGAAGCCATGGTGTGCATCTTGCTGGAGCACGAGGCAGTCCCCGTCGCCAATGACCGAGGGGACTCGCCTGAAAGCTTGGCTGCTGCCAACCAGCACTTGCACCTGCTTGCGGATCTTTCGACATTCTGTGTTTAATCGTTGCGTGTTGAACATGTCAGACCATACCTGATGGTTAGCTCCATTGTGGGCCTTGCGCGGCAGGTTTTTAAAATCAATTGTGCGCGGTCCGCTCGCATGGCCAGCTTAGACTGGTATGGGCTAGTTGGACGTTGCTAGGAGCTTGTGGGCAGTTCATGCTTCTCCAGCATATCCTCCAACACATCTCCGTAGCCGTTTTCAGAAGCAGACTCGGCCTCACTTATACGCCTTCGGACAACTCCAGCCCATGGGCAAGTCCGCTTGTCTGCTTGCCAGAGCGATGCTGGGAGAGGCAGTTGGGTGCGCCGCTTCCCAACGTCCGTTCTTGAGGCTTTGCTATGCCTGCAGCTGAAATTGTGGCTGTGGGGGGCCTCATTGTTTGGCACTAAACCAGATATCCCCAGATCACGCTTATGGCGGTCATAGGCTAGATGCTGTGCTGGCCGTCCACATCATCGTCTGCAAGATGTGGAATCATCGCCTTGCTGCTGTTCCAGGTGATGACTCTTGTTCGTCACGGGTTCGAAGTGTCGGCACATGTTAACTTGAAGCGTGGTTGGCAGAAGCAACGTCGCATCAGTCCACCAAATTTTCTGAAATCTCAACGAAGCAAATCTGCCGATGGTAGCTGGGGCCAGCACGGCCTTCATGATGTGGTCCCGCTGAAGGCTGAAGCAGATCCGTACCAGTGGGGTAGCATTTTATACACTTTTGAGGATACTTAAACTCAATAAGGAATAGAGAATGCGGTTTCTAATACGATCCTAACCACACACTAGTTGGAGTGGGCTTCAGTTGCAACTGCCAAGACCGCGGCGCTTCCATGTTGGAAGCCATGGTCTTAGCAGCGGCATGGCCCCCCGTTCATACCGGACTACACCATTGAGGGCCTTTGCAAGATCGCCAAGCATGCACTCCATGGCAGGACTGCTGAGCGGCAAATGTATCTGTATGAGCACGGCCAGTCATTGCGAAGCCCTGCCACGCTCAATGGCCAACGCAGCCACGAGAAGGCGTGTCATTCTGAACGACGTTTCGTACAGAAGCTAGGTCCTGGCTGCGGTCAAAAGTAAAGTGTGCACGTCCATGGACAGGATGTTTAGGGACTCTGGCTGAGGTCTGCAGACACGAGGTTCTTGGAAGACTCCTGAACCGGACAGTTCCCCGCAGAACCTTTGCCCACCTGTATTCCGACACTCTGTGTTTTGCCAAGGTCACCTGCCAGGCAGGGGGCTTCTCATTAGGCCGTGTTTGACTCGTGACTGTCAGGTGAGTTGCAAATGTGGCATCGCCAAGTTCTGTACGCGAAGTGGTGGCACTTTACGTCAGCAGCTCCAGACACCATGACGTGTAGCAGTAGGGCTGTGCAGGCCTGGGTGGACATGGAAGCCCTCATGGAGGCCCTCAATAGCTCATGGCAGGTGCGCCGTTCAAACTGGCGGATGATAGCAACATGCAAGCCTAGTTCTGCACAGCAGCTGAACACCAGTTCGAGTTCCTGTAGATGTGGTGTTTGTATGTTGCAGCTGGAGGCTCCACAGGTGATGGCAAGATGCCAACAAGGGTTCTTTTGTCATCGGACACCGTCGCGTGTGTTGTTTCCTCAGATCCTTGGCCAGGTGCTCCTCAGCGTCACCTTGGTGGCCTTTGCTGTGGGCGTATTGTGTACCTTAGATGTGGAGTTGGTCTTCGGCCTGCCACGTCCTGAGCATTTTGCCGAGGTGGTGAAGGCATTCTGATTTTTGCCCTTTAAGGGATTTATAGAGGGTACCTCATTCCCTCATTCCCTACGAAGAACCCCAAACCCTAAACCCTAAACCCTAAACCCTAAACCCTCAACCCTCAACCCTCAACCCTCAACCCTCAACCCTCAACCCTCAACCCTCAACCCTAAACCAGCCAGATCAAGGCTCTTGGTGGCATTTGGGGTGTGCGCCTTTATCGTGTTTTTCTTCTTCGCCCTCTGCGGGCTCGGGCCCCAGACTGGCAGGATCAAAAAGCAAAGACAGCAAAGCTGGCGAATGCCTTTCTTGACATGGCAAGCGCTAGGACGCTAGGACTCGGAGCTGTGGTGTTTTTTTTTCAGACTGGGTCTCGTTGTTCGTTTGAGATGCGCAAGGAGGAACACGAAGCCACTATGGGTTGCCAATAGAATATGGCACAAGAGGGCACAAAGCAAGTCGTGAGAGGTGGTCGTTTGGTCCCTGGGAGCTGACCATCATGACTGTGTTTCTCAGCTATGCAGTCGAGCCTGCCTTCCACATCGGCGGGCGCCCCAGAATTCAGTACTCGCAGTTATTCGCAGTGATGTGGACCGCGGCATGACATGGTGCTGGTTTCAGCAGGAGCTTGTGGTGTTGGATAAGTTGACAAGTTGGTTTGGTGGTGCCAAATGCCACAGGTGTGCATGGTTGCACAGCTGTCCTTGGCAAGTTAAGAACTGAAGCATGCCGCCTCCGCCGAGGAAGCTGACCTGTTTGAAGCGAAGAGACGAGACACACGCCTTTTCTGCATCTTGCCACATGCTTCTTTCATAGTCATGCGCTCACCTTCCAAACTGCAAGGAGTTTGCACACAATTCCCCGAGTGGTTCTGACAAGTGTCTTCGGGCGGAAGCAACATCAGCACTATACTGCATGACATTTTCGATTTAGGCCCGCGGAAAGCTTGCTTAGTCTTCAGAAAGTTCGCGCGCGTATCGCTGGCAGTATCGCGTCGTGAACACCTCGATTCAGCCCAAGCAAACGACGGGAAATGGGCTCAAAGCAGGGGATGATGATCGCGGGGCGCCCAAGAAGCTCCTCGACGATGCCAACGAGAAGAAGCTGGAGAAGAAGGGGGGGGAAGTGGAAGCTCGGGCAACCGAGGGCTTTCTGCAGCCGCGAAAGAGTTCGCACTTACAAGAGGGTAGGTTAAGTCGTATCTTCTTGTGTAAAGTCGTATCTCGGGCGCGTCGACACTGGAATTCGCGAAGACCAAGACTGGTCAGAACCCACTGGCACCCCCAAGCAGAAATCTCATTCACGCTGACAAAACTGGGCTCCCCTCACAGGCGTGCGGTGACAAGTGCGTATTTTGCATGTGGGTCGAGAACATGAACAGGTTCCTCAGTGTTTTCGAGCTTGCCGGCACAATGTTCAAGATTCAGGGGGCCTTGAGCATCGCAACCAACCCTGACCCCTTTACCCTAAACCGCCAGGCAGCGTCAGTCACAGGTTTAGTGGGGAAGGGGTTTTAGTCAGCTGTGGCTGGGGCTGCGGTCTGGCGTGATTCTTCTACACCGGTGACAATGCGTCAGCTGCCTTTGCAAGGTTACGACTTCGTCATGCCGGGAATGCCAGAAGGAGCACCGACAGCCTTCATTCCGCTAGGGTTCGGGTTCCAGTTGCTTGTGACTTATGAGGCTGGCTGTGGGCATCGTTCAGGGTTGGCCGACAACCGCTTAGACTCAGAAGCCTCATGGTCTAAGCACTGGCCCAAGCTTGCGCAGGGCTGATAGAGGAAGTGCACAGGTTCATGTGGCTGAAGCTCAGGAACAAGCCTAAGGTAGCAGAATTCCTTTACGAGCCTTCCGCCCCCCATGAGCGGTGTAGCAACATCCCCTGGTTAGTAGCTTAATCCCAAAAGCTTTCGAAACTTCTTCGACAATTCTCATGTCTGAAGCCAGTGTTTATCATTTCAATCTCTAGCCTGGCCGCTTTCATGAGGCTTTTGCATAAAACCCATCCTAAACACCTTTAGTACAAACCTCCCTGTCGCTCCTTGATTATTCCTGCCAACGGTTCGACGGTTCAGCCCTTACAACTGCCACGCGAGGTCCCCCAAACCCTAAGCCATGTGCGAGGGCCAGCTGAAGCCGGCAGAATGACTCAGAATGACCCTCGATTATTTGTACATTATGAGTATGGGCACGAGCTCGCAAGTGAACGAGGCGAAGGAGTGGAGAAACAATTCGCTTATCAACCCCCTTACAGAATTAATATTGGAATGAAGAAACAGAAATGATGAAACTAAGCAAGGTCGTCATGTGGCCGAGGACTCAAGCCACGAAGCTATGAAGCTCTAGAGTTAATTGCCAGAGGCTTGCAGCCTGAACAGGGCGTGCAGCCGGCGGAAGGCTTCTCTTGAATGAAGGTGATGTGAGAGTTCATGGCTGAGGACTTGCTTGATTCCGGTTGAAGACTTTGAGTTTGTGTCTGGTACATGACACTATGGCAAGTCCTAGTCAACGCGACTAAACCCTGACCCCTAAACCCTTAACCTTTGTTGTGTCTGAGCCTGGAATTGTGACTGGGGCTTGGCTGCGCCATCAAGAGCGTCTTTTGTGGGCGCAAGTCTGCGTGTCAGCTCTTTCAACTGCACCCCGTAATTACAGCGCAAGTGCTAGAAGACATCAGGGGTTCAGCTCTTCGAGCTGCGCCAATGCTGGTTGGTACTCGTAGCCATTGGTGAACCTTCTCAACATTCAGTGGTTCAGCTGGCGAACAGAGCGATTGCCGCGTCGTCTGCGGAGATAGGGCCGGGTAGATTTGCTGTTTGCAGGTTTGGGCGCGGCAGCTGGGTGTCTCGGTAGCACGCGCTCGAACACTTTCCGGGCTACAGAAGAGTGGCACCAGCTGATACTTAAAGTTTTGTGGTTGTGCTTTGTTGCAGCAGAGGAGTGGGCAGCCGCCAGCATCTGGCCCACAGGCTGGGCAGAGCTGCATGAAGCTCCTTAGCAGTTGGGATCACTACCGCTATGACCTCTGGAACCCACCAAAGATCAATCGGATCATCCTGTGGCTTGGCGTCGTAAATCATATTGCTGTTGCTGCGGTTTAGGGTTTAGGGTTTAGGGTTTAGGGTTTAGGGTTTAGGGTTTAGGGTTTAGGGTTTAGGGTTTAGGCCTCAAAGACCCTGTGAACGCCTGGTCGCTGGAAAGGGTCTTCTTCCTATTGAACTCGGGGGCTGTAGGTCTTCCCCAAGAATAAGAATACCATGTTAGCAGAGCTTTTGTTCACCCAACAGTCATGTTGATGGTGAGCTCGCGAGCAGCAGGAGCATTGATTGTGGGAGCGGCGTATGGTGCATGTTTGCAACATGATGCCTGCTTGGGAGGCTGAACGTGCCAGCAGCGATGGCCTGTCACAGGCAAAGAAGCGAGCCATAAAACTGTACTACTGCTCAATATCTTGATTTTCTGTTCAGGCGAGCGACCTCCATCCAAAGGAGGATGACTCGCCTGAGGTGCCATAGTAGACAGTTGCGACATCTATTGCAAGATTCGAATGCGCAGATGCACTGCATGCTCAGAACGCGGGGAGGCAGCCATGCAGCGATCTATCCACGCAGTCGCCAAGAACTTGATCTCCAACTCTATCAAGCTGATGTTGCCGGCCCCTGAGTCTTCGACGATCTGTACTGCTGCGCGCTGTCAATCCTTGACCCAGTCCAGGATTGGCAGCTACAGTTAAGAGCACGGGGGGTCATGCAAGAATATGCTAACATATTGCAATATACCATCACTTCGAACTTTGCCACTTCTTGCTGCCAGTGAACGCCTCCAGGCAGCTTTGCAAAGCTACCATGTGACTGCCACATTGGAGTGCCGACTTGCATAAACCCTAAACCCTTGAAGATGTAAACTCCGAGGTGCGGAATCATGCTGGCGCCCAGCCAGCTTCGCAGCTTGGAACCGCAGCTTCATGCCAGACAGACCCTAAACCCTAAACCCTAAACCCTCAAGCGCCGGAGATCGCTTGCATGGCTTTCTCAAGCAGAAGATACCTGAGGGCAGCATGGTGCAAGTTCACATGCGAGGCATTTTTTCCCGACTGGGAGCGATTTCCATCATGCTTCCGGTGCTGTGTCTGCCGTCGGGACCTCAAGTTAAGATCGCACTCGGCCGCGTGGAAGCCCACGCGACCTTGAAGTACAGCAGCAGTATCAATGCTATCATATGTCGTCGTGTTCCGTGTTCTCTCGTGTCTGCTGGCAATCGCGGCGCCACTGCAGCTGTGCCCCCAGACGTGGGCCAGCAGCCCCTACAAGTGCCAGACACATGGCATTGAAACATGTGCGCGAACACCAGAAGCGACAGAACTGCCTGAGCTGCGGAGCCTCAACATCTTCCAGGTTGTTTTCCTCTAACTTGCTCGAAACGATCTGTAGTTCGCACGCAAGCTGTTGTGACTCTGACTGAGTTCGCACGGCAAGAGCACCAAAAGTGAGAGCAAATGACGCCGAGGTCTGTATTGGTCGTATACCCTGCATTGATCCTTGCTTCGGGACGGACACGGCGTCAGCCCGACCTCGTTCTCATGGGCAAGGTGCCTTGTCAAGGAAATGTGGGTACCTGGAACCTTCTTTGGGGATCCTACAATCTGGGTGTCTATACATTAGGGGTCCCTTGTTTTCGTAAACCCCCATACAGGAGATGAATAATTATTCCGATATGTATGGCGCTGTTTTGACGTGTCGCCCTATTCTTGGCCTTTAAGCCTCCCTAAACCCTTAAACCCTTAAACCCTTAAACCCTTAAACCCTTAAACCCTTAAACCCTTAAACCCTTAAACCCTTAAACCCTTAAACCCTTAAACCCTTAAACCCTTAAACCCTTAAACCCTTAAACCCTAAACCCTTAAACGGGTGGGAAAAAACCCTTAAACCCTTAAACCCTTAAACCCTTAAACCCTTAAACCCTTAAACCTTTAAACCCTTAAACCCTTAAACCCTTAAACCCTTAAACCCTTAAACCCTTAAACCCTTAAACCCTTAAACCCTAAACCCTAAACCCTTGGTTTCCCAACTTCGGCTCTCCTGCAGGTGCTCTTGGACAAGGCATCGTGGCTGTGGTTTGTGCCCCAGTTCTTCATAACCTGAGCGTTTGCCCTAAACCCGAAAGCCCTGCACCCTAAACCCTAAATCCTAAACCCTAAACCCTAAACCCTAAACTGCAGCTGCAACCCGGAGGATTTCTTGCAACAGCTAAAGAGTTCAGCTTGGCCTAAGGACATGAGAGAGCCTTGTGAATCCGCTGCGTGCCCGGTGCCGTTTTTGTAGTTTTTGTAGTCGTTTAGATTTACCGTGTTCAGGCTCTAGCTTTAAAACCCCGGTTTGTCTCAACTGCGTGCGTCATGCCATGCCAATGGCGAATGTATGATAGTCTCACCCGTGCTACTGCGCGAGCATGCGCAGTGCACGCTACAAATCAGCCTCGCAATGAATCGGAAGCCGTGCTCCCTCAAATCTTGGAGATGCAGCCATGCAACAACCTGTTTCACTCATAAGAGGCGTCAGTTAGAGGAAGAAACCCTACTACGACATTTCTCCATGGATTGATGCATGACAAAGATCCGAAAAATATCTTCCAAGATACATATATATATATATATGTGTTCTGGTCTTATTTATTAAATTTATTGTTATCCTTCCTTCTATTCTGTTTGTCATTTGCCCATACTTATCAGACGTCATATTTTCTTTTGCAATGAATGGTCTACAAATGATGGTATGAAATTGAATAATTCATTTTCGATAAATCATTTTCGAAATTCAATCGTAATTGGAGATGGATGGATTTTTGATCATTATATGAAGATTTTATTTATATTTCGTAGATATTTGGATCTTTAATATTCAAAAATGAAACTTATGGATGGGAATAATGTAGATTTATGGATGTCTAATTCTTGGAATTCTGGGCCCGACTATATTTCTTCATTCTGGATTATTTTAGTCTTATACTACCGGAGACTCTAAACAAGCTAAGAAATATCAAATTCGATATTACTCTTCAGAAAAACGACAAATAGAGGAGTTTATCTAAATCTTAAGATCTATGGGATATAATATCTTGTCTTTAATTCAATATTATAATCTCAGAATTGGAACTAAATTTTCATTGCAACCCGTTGTAGACTCGTAATCTTAGGAATAATCACGAAGAGACTAGATTTAGATCAGCGAATCCATTTTAATGAGATTTCAGAACTCTTTTTCCCCAAATAATTTATTGAGAGGGGGGAGCCCATATCTTTCTAAGAATTCCGATTTGGTCGGATGTTCCGGCCGGGATCCCTGGTCTGCTTATCTCGGGTGACCTTGATTGGGTCTCTGGATTGCCACCTCTCTTTGATCTCCCTTCATGTGGGTGGCGCCCTGGCCGGGTCTCAAATCTGCTTGATTTCATTTGTCTCTTTTATCTCCTTCTATGTGTTATCCCGTACAAAACAATTACAGAGTCGATCAACAATCACGCCTGTCGTAGCGTTGCAGCCATTTTGAGCACAAATGAAGAATGTAGCTTGGCAAACTTTCGCCTCCTAAGACACAGACATCCATTCCGGAATTGTAGCCATTCCAAGTCATGAGGCTTTGTGGACGAAGGTCAGGACAGCACCTCTTTCAACACTCGTTCCCTAAACCCGAAACCCTAAACCCTAAACGACTCTTGACGCGGACATGCTTCCATTCGGAGACAATTTCCATCTTGGGAGACAAACCTGCCGGTGCATCAGCGGAGGATATTGGCCAGATGACGGCCCGGTTGACCTATGCTAAACAATCTGAGCGTGACTGAGTTGCTGCATTTCTGCTCTGATGCCTCGCTGGTGTTCAAGGAGCGTTAGGATGATGAGCCAGGGTCGAACACAAAGCTTGATATTTTGATGCTCGCATTCCTGAGTAGTACGGAGATCATGTATTTGCAGGCTTCTGCCCTCGGGGTTTCGCAGCTTTTGGAACCGTGCCGTGGCTGCATTCTACCCGGCACGGGAGCGGCGGTAATCCCACGAAACCAAATCCCAGAGTAATTCCTTCCCCCGAATACTAAAATCACCCCTAATTTTAAATATTATTCTTCCCGGACCCTGCCGGCACCCAGCCCAATACTAAACCTGTTTGAGAATTAGGGGGGGAGGGGTTCAGGGCCTTCGCCCTTGTCCAAGTGGCCAGCTCATGTCAAAAGAACGGAAGGCAGGCGATGTTGCCATGTGATGCTGGTCGGGAACGCGCTGGCCTCTGTCCTGCCGAACTTGGACTCGTCATGCTCCTGCATTGCAGGACAATTCAAACAAAACAAGCACATTCCCTCCCCCCTAATATTAAATCCCTTCCCCCTCCCCTCCTAATTCTGAAATTCGCCTGGACCCGAAAAATTTTTTAAATTAGGGGGGGGTCTAAATCCTAAGACCTGAATTCCGAAACCCCTTATGCCTAATTCAGCACATTCTGTGCTCTGCTGCGGTTGATTTGCTGGGCAGAAAGATCCAGATGCGGTTTTTTTGATGAAGAAGGTGGTCCTTGATGTGCCAGCTTTGATTTGAGATCATGGCAAGGCTTCAAGTCTTCGTGGGGCTCCTAAGGAGACGGTACATTTCCAGGGAGGAGCGCTCCTCCAATGTCACACGGGTGAGCAGAGTCTTGCGGATTGGTGATTGCGGCTGATGGCGGGCCTGCCCTCTCCTCGCAACGCCAACCATCACACGCTACAGGTTGCGTGCAAGTTAGGTTTGGCAAGGGCTGTAGTGGCTGGGTGACGATGCGCTTAGAACGACACAAGGCGTCCTAGACTTCTGAGCCAGGCCAACCCAATGCGCTTTACCTACCTTCAACTCAGTTGATCCGATTTTGCAGTCCGGACATATGCAGCTCCGCATCTCTGATCGTCCATTCCATCTGGCCTTTGTTCCGTCACCTTGCGATTTATGGGATTCGTGGGTTGAGACGCCTCAAGTTTCTTCTTCGTTGCCAGGAAATCTATTAGGTCCATTGCGCAAAAGTTCCTCCATCAAGCCACATGGCCGCGGCCCAAAACGCCAGGCTTGTAACAGGCCCCCGGGCGCCCATGGCGCGACAAAGGATTTTTTTCACAAAAATCGGTTCTTGCGACAAACCTTGCGCGACAAGGCTTGCGACAAGGGGCGGTTGCTAGAATGCCACGCGACAAGGGTAAGAAACAAAGCTGGCGCGACAAGGGGCGCGACGGGCTTAAAAAAGGTGGGGGTCGGACCCCCGCGACGAAGGGGTATTGAGTCATGCCCACATCTGAACTATCAGAAAGGCTCCTGGCAACGTCGCATCACCTCTTTTGAAGTGTTCAGCAAGCTGAGAAATGCACAGGACAATTCTTTTGCGACATGTCATCTTGACTGTATCCGAGCTCAGAAACCTGCTAGATGCTATAGATATGTATCGCTACACTTCGGGAAGATGGTGTTTCCGAATCGTTCACCTAAATTAAACCTTCGTTCCAAATTCGATATCGAGGGCCTTTCCAAGTCGCCTGACTTCGGTGTTGTTGCATAGAGCGTACTCAGCCAAGCTCAGCTTTTCGCTTCTGATCTCGAAACCCTCCAAGCACCTGCCAGCTTTCTCTCGCACTCGCGCAGATGACTCTGTGCTTCTCCATGTGCTTTGTGACAGATTTCTGGGGCTGGTGTAAGGGGGGGAAGGCATAGAAAACAACTCCATT